GGACTTAGACAATGGAAAAAGGAATGGCTTCTATTACTACTAGTGACGTCGTCGGAAGGGTAGCTTGGAGACACTTTATTCGTGTAACCAGCAGAGGTAGCCTAACCAGTAATGGTGAGAGGTGTTAAAAGGAGAATTTGAATCAGTGAGATACTTCAATAATTCGGTTTGATTTATAAATTTTATTATTATAAGATATCTCAATAATTTCGGATATAACAACGGATCGGGTGATAGATTGGAAGCATGTTGCTCTTATTCAGCAGTGGAATAATCAAATCAACAAGTCTTTAATAATGATAGGTTCTTTGTTTATTTATTCTTTATAGATCCGCTTTTTTTCAGGAAAAGTCATTTTATAAATATTGAAAAACACCAGTAAATGAGAAAATTCCTCAAGGTTCATTGGCCTATTTTTGGTTTTATGAAATTCACCAATTTTTTCTGATCAGAAAAATTTTTGTAAATTTGCGGAAAGTGTTTAAAAAGAAGTGCAAACAGAAACAAATCGGTAAAATTCTTCACAAAATATTCTCAGATTACCATTTTTAAAAAAATTCTAAGAAAAATTTAGTTCAAAAATGGAAAGAAGAAAATTAATAAAGATTCTTTAACTGCAGAAATGCTTGAAAAATATCGTGTCGTGAAATTTAGCGATTAGTCACGCGACCGGTTTTCGATTTTCCATCCTATCATGCATGTCATTTATTCGAATTATATAAAGTTTGCATATTCAAAGTTTTCATACCATTTTCGATTCCAAACAGGGGGACATTAATACAGCCACTGAAAGTTACCACTTGAAAACTCGTTCAAATCTATTTCAGGTTTTCAAAATCCAGGTTTCCAACTCCATTTACATTTCTGACGCTTTATGATTTATGTTCAAAATTTATATTTATATTTAAAAAATGAACGAAAATTAGACGACATATTTTGAATACTTGAAATTCAGATTTCTTCCTCCATTTGTATTTCTGATAGCACCAAGAACGGTTTTAAAATGAGCATTATAATATGAATATTTAATGGTTTATAAAGTTATATTTCCACAGTTATTCGATCTCCAAAGGATAAGAAAAAGGTAATAATTGTGAAATAGAACCGGTTTGCGATGTCCATTCTATCAATGGGTCACCAATTTTAATTCACCGCAGATAAATGTAATTTTTATTGATAATATTATAACTCAGTGGATTATTGTTCTCATTTCTGAGTGCCGATGCCGGAGTTTCTCTACTCCCCACAGAAAATAAAACATTTTTCAAAACGCGGGTGGCGATTTCTTTCTATCAAAGGTTCTTTGGCAAGGCTTGTGATAAGCCACAAGCCTGAAGCAGTTCTGATTAAAAATGGTGAGCACTCTGGAAGAGAAATTCGTTTATTCTTTTATTATTTGCATTTATTCGTCATTTTTCTCATGTTTAATTTTAATTCTATTATTACATTATTATTTTGATATTATAATTGTCTGAATTATTTCTGAATTATTTTAAAAATTTTTTGAAATTTCATGGAATTTGCACTTTTATAATTCATTTTTGCCTTCATGATAAATTTGTATTGTTTTGTCGAAATTTCGATTTAAATGATCAATTTTCTGCAAAATTTATTTCTTTTTTTCGACTCTTCTTCGAGATAAATTTAGTTTATTTTCATCTAATCTTGTTTATTTTCAACTGTTTTTTTAAAATATACTTTATTTCAAGCATTAGCTTATCGATTAACTTAAATTTTTCATTAAATGTATTAATGCATGAAATTTCCAGAAATATATGAATCGATTATTGGAAAGTGATTAATCGAAAAGAATTTTGAGAATTAAATCCAAGGTTAAAAGTAAACATAATTGTCAGTGTAGTTTCTTTCTAAAAATTCATTAAAAAAGTTTCAACTGACTATTGTTTATTATATCTTAAGCTGAAACTGGAAAAAATATTAAAAAAGTATGATCGAACCATGATGCTTGGATTGGTATTTTAGTAGACCTTAAAGTTACGACTCCTGGAAGTCCGCGAATTCTTTGACAGCCATTGACAATCTAAACAATTTACCATCGTTGTTCAAATTTTTATCTATTTTTGCAAAAATTTCTGAATTAAAAAAACCCTTTAAAACAATACCTGAATAGCAGTAATAAAAATTTGCGCATTTATGTAGTTATATAATTCATAGTACGCTGGCTGATTTTAAGAAAAAATTTAATTAAAAAGACTCACTTAGGCATAGGTGTCCCAGTATCTATCAGATTTTTAAAGTAGGTTTAATTGTTTTTCTAAGAAATGACTTGACCTTTTAAAAATCGCTAGATTTCTTCTAGCTGAGGAATGTTGTTCTCTGAATAATTGGCCGTGTTGGGGCAGAATTTTATCATCGGTCACTCTCGGCACTCACAAAGTGAAAACAAAAGCATACTAAGACATTGTAATCTTTAATAATGCGAAACCATTCTTCTAACAGCTCTCACCATTAGTGGTTCTACAGGCTCCATTGGTTACAAGGGTAATTCCAAGCGGCTCAGTCTGATATTATCGTCGATAGTAATGGAAGCCATTCCTTTTTCCCTTTAAAATCTTTCCTGACCATATCAGGTCTTGACTGGTCCATCTCGCTTTTGATGCCATCCAACACAGGGTTTGTATCAACTCTTGTGGTGAGCGATGAAGAAAGTGTCCTAGTAGCGAAAGAGACGTTCTGTGATGGCACTGTTAATGCAAGTGGCATTTGGTCGAAGGTGGGTGCGATCATATGAGGTAAACCCGTAAAATGTACCTTAGACATCAGTGGTCAAAGGCAGATAACTTCTTAATATCCTTCACTCTCATTGTCCTTATCTCGCAGCCATATAGCAGGATTGAACGAATCGTGGCTACATAGATGCTGACTTTCGTTTTTATGGTGATTTCACGACGGCTCCATAAAGGTTTTCTCAACCGAAAAAAATTTCATCTCGCTGCCGTAATCCAAGTTGTAATATAGTTTTTTGCCTGGCTATTTGATATTAGAGTGAATTCAAGATATTTAAAATCGAGCGCCTCCTCAATTGGCCGTGAATTTACAAACATAGCCATTTTATTAGCTTTTTTTACATAAGACGAAAAGTCTTTCGTTCTATTTTACATTGGCTCTGAGTCCGATTATTGCTGCGGTTGCTGACACGTTATTTAGTATTACTTGCATTTCATCATAAGTATCAAGAAAAAGGATTACAACCAGCATATTCAAAATCTGTGATGTGATGCTCTGGACTGATTTGGATACCTCTTGAGGGCCGACAAGTGATATCCATTATACAATTTATCGCATAGTTGGAACCTTGATGGGCACCAGTTCTTGCTTATAAATTCCTCATATAAATATGCCGACATACGCTGATAAAATACCTTTATAAATGGAATGATCTTCTCTGGAACACCGTCGCATTCCATCACCCTCCAAAGCGCCTTTCTATCAATTGAAAAAAAGTTAGCCGCAAAGTCGATGAAACACGTGACAGTGGGTTGTCTGAAGCGATGTTCCAACCTGAATATCTGGTTAGCTCAACCGCGCCACAGTCTGAATTCCCGTACTGCTATAAGTCTAATGAGTAGAAATGAAATAAAAAGTTTTCGCTGAGTCGTTTAATAGGCTGATTCTTTTAGTTGGAGATAGTTGAAGGATCTGAAATGCTTTTTTTTGCGGATTGCCGATCTTGATTCGAGCCATAGCATGGTCAGATCCATGAAGATTACCCGTTTCAGTGCAATGATAGGCTATCTAGTAAGGAACTCTTCCAGCGGCGACTGACTAAGATATAATCAATCTGGTTGAAGTATTGGTTATCCGAGGAGTTCCACGTGACTAGATGTTTCCTACGATGCCGAAAGCAAGTATTAGTAACAAAAAGTTCATGCACTTCAGCATAAGGCGTCTTTCTTGGTGCATCGGTCCTCGGTGGCATATTTGCCAATTATCGAAGTCATCGGAGCGATATCGTGACCTACGCGTGCATTCCATTCTCTCCCGATTATGTTTCGATAGAGGCTTTTGAAGTTGAAATTTCGCGTAGAACATATTATCTTTACCACAGTTATCTGCCGACAAAGTTGGAGCATAGATACTGAAACCATTGGGAGAATTTGATTAATTTAATTTGATAATTTGATTAATTTCTTTAATCACTTTTACTCATTTTTTCCTCAGTATATATATTTCCTTAATATATATTTCATTAAATTCACCATATTTATTTTTTCTTTTTGAATTGAGTAATATTCTACAAAGTCTATAAATAATTTCGGTTATAAAAAAAGTGTGAATTAAATTAATGTGGTTTTCTCTTACTGAGCTTTATCCAAATATTCTGGAGAATTAAAAGTTAAAAGTGGTAAATTTAAATAATCAATATCAATATCATTCAATATCATTATCAATAGTGAAATGAACCATTAAGACAATTAAAATTTGTATTTCACGACTTACGATCAGCTTATGATGTACTTTCGCGATTCATAGGATAATACAAACTTACGATAAATAGATGTTTCTTTACAATGTTTGTCAAATTATCGGCAAATTAATCAACATTTCTATTGAATGGCTATGTGAAACCGGTTCGTTGCTGTCCTCATTTTCATGATTTTGGTAAAAACTTTTTTTTAAATAATTTGGTTTCAGATTTACGTAAAAAAATCTTTTGCTAGAATAATTTCTTTTTGCCAGAATTGTAGATTTTTAACAAAATACAAAATATTTTTTATCCATCATAGTTTTTCATTGTTCCATATTGATAAATCTCTCAAAAAAATTTTTTTTAGCAGTTTGCAGTTAAAAATTATTTAAAATTCATTCGAATTTATAAAATAAAGTAATAAGTTAATTTCTTTGATGCAGCTCAATTATTAATATTAATGATTAATTTATAACCAGCATAAGATCTTAAATTACAATTTTTCATAGTATGTTAAAACTATTAAAGTATTAAAAATATAAACTTTATACAGTTCGATATTTTAAAATTCATGAAACTTACTGGACGAACAGTGTTCGATATATATACGGGAAATGCTCGTATCAAATCAGCTGGGCATTTCCATATGAATTAATGATGGTCCCATAGAAAATGAAACATTAGACCAATCGTCATATTAATGCTCACTCAGTCCAAATCCTAATTATTGTACAAATTTTAATCCTTGATAAATGATCATTTTAGCGGAGGCGCGAAAATTAATTGAAAATAAAAATTTTACGTTCTTTTTGGATAAACCAAATGACAGTAGGCATTATTTTTTTAATGTGTAACGGAACAATTGGTTTTCTAGCTTCTTTCTTTAATCTTTTTTCTCCTTAAAGGAGAATTTTTTATCTATTTTATCTACTTTTTATAATATTTTATTAATCATTGCAAACATCTCGAATTTTTTTTGGTCAAAAAAATAACTTTAATTTGATTGTTTATCGCATCAAGTGGCGAATTTAATAAATAGGTCGTTACATTCTATAAACACCATCCGTGTTTCACTTTTGATGGCAGGTTAACTCTTACCAAACCTAATTTGACTATACACCGTCCGTATTTCGCCGTTTGGTAACCGTTAGTGAAAAGAGGGGCGAATCGAATTTTGATGGTTTAATCGAAGCAAGTTAATTTACAATTTTTTATTTCAAGATTTATGCCTATCAAAAGGAAGGATATACGTAAAATGTACTAAACAGTTCAAGATATTCAAAACGTTATCGATGTGCGAAAAACCGAAGCAGCTCGATACATCTTCCGCTTGGGAATTTTGTCCATTATCATGCTACCGTTTATTACTTATTATTAGTGGCTTGTTAACCTACTCATTAATCTATTTAATTTACGCTCAGCATCATGCTCTACTACTTTATTTTATGACTGGGTTTATTTTAATTTTATTTAAAAATATAATTTTAAGTAGCAAACAAGTTCCAATAATCCGCATGACGGTGATCCACTTTTATTCCTATCTCCGAGTAATTCCCTGGTAAAATCTGGTCCGATAAAGCAAAGCGAGGGAAGGCGAGCTTAGAAAAAAATTTCAATAATGGCAGCTTCAATAATGAAACATCGAAATAATAAGGCAAATAACCATAAATGCGAGATACATTGCAGTAATATAATTCTGCAATAATATTATAGCTGTTACCCACTGCGCCAAATAATTAATCCTGAAAAAAGTTCATTCTCTTTATTTTTCAAGCAGCTGTCGCATTTCTGGTTCTGGTTCGGCGGGCTATATTGACTATTAGCTTGAAATTTCTTCGGCTAAAAATAATTTAGAGATGGAAATGATTTCTATTTATATTTGTTCAACTTAATCTTTTAAAAAATCAAATAAAGTAAAAGCGTTTTTCGAATTTAAATCGGAAAGAAAAAATTAAAACTTGATTTATTGATGCGATAAAAGAAAATTTTTTGAGTTGATTGCTTGTTGGCAATTATTTAGGGACGTTTCATCATAGCTGCAAGAAAAAAAAGGTCTTTTTTTACAGTTTGATCGCAACAACGATGGTTATTTTATATTCATCTGGTTTGCTTGCTGTATTATATTTAATGTTAACTATTTCAAAATTGGATCAAGAATTCGATGAATTTGAAAAATCGAAAAATGTTCCGACAATTTTTCAAAAAACAACTATCCAAATCAAATTTTAACTCTTAGTTGCTCGAAATGGTCAGTCGTGTTTTCAATATGATGCTTTGCAACAAGGCAATTCTTTATTTTAAATTTTACCTATTTATGTTATTTCAGTTGGAAACAACCGTTATAGTAAAGGATAATTCTAGCAGTAAGAATGGATTAAGACTATGGATATTTGCAACAACTTTCGGCCTTACCTGTTTCATTTGAATTCGGGCTGATTCCTCATTTTACCGATGATGATATTTTTTATCAAGAAAATAACACTAATAATATTTTTTATCAGCAAAGTAAATCAACAAATGTTTTTAAATGAATTTTCTACAAATGGCATTATTGATAGCAATTATTTAAACATTTTTTATTACTTTTTACTTTGTTTGTGTATTCACATACTCTAAACGAACAATATATCAATATATTTTTTATTTATCAATATTCAAATGATTCAAATAAAAGGGAAAAGTGTGATTCAGTTTTTCTTCGATCTCGATCAGTTATTTTCGGGTTTCGCTCAAAAACTGATATATTATCTGAAACTGGATCTGATTCTCATTACTTTGATAGTTTATGCAATTATTATCGAAAAAATAATATTTCTGCTTAAAATATATTCTTATACACGGATCACATGAAGTATATGTAATGAAGCTCGCGAATTTCCAAATAGAAAAAATTCCTCAGCGTCAGTACTGGAGATTCTTTTCGTACCTAAGCTTTGCTTCGCGTGCCACACGGATTTTATTTTTCACTTTTTTACTCAAATATTGAAGCCATGTATCTCCTTTTAAGTATTTATTGTGAGTTGCTCGAGACAAAACAACATCTCAAAGTGCCTCAAACTTGGACAATCAAATCTTTATTTACAAATAATACACTAATTTATGCAACACCACATAGATGCTAACAGCTTAATACATTTCAAATGGCGCTGCAAGTAGACTCGACATGGTAAAGAGGGAGATTTGCGTGTAGTCACACGTAAAGGACGACGTACTCTAACTTACCTTGCTCCCACCTACCTTCCTATCTCTCATGTTACCTATGTCCACCATGATCCCCCAATGATCATCAGCGGTAACTATGGAATGAGAGAGATTGGAATGGGAGAAGACAATGGTTTTCTCCCATTCTTCTTCTTAATTTATCAAGATATGTGACCTCCATAGTGCAGCTATCTTTAATTAGCCGCTTTACATTACATTACATTTGCATAATTTCAGTAATAATTTGTAATTCTTATCCTCAATGCTCTCATAGGGAGGAAAGAGGAATGCCATAAAAGATGGTCCAAAAGTCGTGGGCTATTTCACCATTCTGCGACATAAAAAAGATTTTAATACTCGCTTCAAATAACTTGAAAACTTGGATACGCCATATCAGATTATACAAGAATTTCAATGCAATCCGAAACCGATTTTTTGCTTGCAGAAAGAATTAACTGAATTAAAGGAGTGTTCCAAAGAGTATTCCAAAGTTTCATTCCCGACAAAAAAACTCATCAAGTTTTGGAATTGCAAAGATATTCGTGATAATGTGTTTTGGTATTCTCGCTTCATTCCACTTGAAACTGAAGCGCCTTTAGTTACAACGATTTATTAAATAAAATAGATTGAATATATCAGAATGTGGCGAACAGTAAACCACGCATTGTTCAAAAAGTATTGTTGCTACACATCAGACAAAGCCACATCATTAATTACTGTAAATAATGTACGTTTCAATTGCAATTTTGTTTGAAAAAACTTTTTTTGATGATTATTGCGAAATAAACATTTACCGGCAAAACAAAACTAGTTTCAACCAGGTGGGCATATAAAACTCCCTCAATTATAAAAAAATCCCTCATTCCGTCCCATCCTCAATCTCTATCAGAAACTTGAGGATCCCACGTAGCACCTTAGCTGTCCCTAGTAGTGCATCCTTCTGAGCGGAAATTGTTCCTAGAACTTGTTGGAACCACTTTTCTAGTTCAGACACCCCCAGTGCTTTTACCACATTGGGATTACTTTGGTTCTCACTTTCCACATCTTCTGATAGAATTTCTTTCTGGATAAGTTTTAGAATATTTTGAAATAAGCTTAAAGTCTGGAAAATTTATTGTCAATAATGCGGCAAAAGTATATACTACCGTACGAGAAAGCCATTCAGTAAAGGAAGGCGGAGTAACCGCCGCTGCGCAGCGCGGTTTTAGAATATATGCCTATGCATTTATTTATTACTCCAAAGAAACTTGTGAGTTAACTGACAGACGTTTATGTAAGGAAGGCGGATAAACATGGCATATAAATGGGAAAAGGAAGTGTGTGATGAGGGAATAAGTGCTGGCGAATCTATAATCGACTACACATTCATTTCGGAAAACGGTTTCCTATTAATCGTGTTACTTACCGATTTTGGTTAGTTATATTGTCAGTTTCACTTCTTTTAATGCGGTGCGATTTTCCTTTTCGGAAAACACCGCTTAGGAATGATGGAAGAAGATTTTATATCTCTGTGTTGTCTGATGGTTTATTAAGCGATCAAGTAAGAGTAGAGTCGCGGAACATAATTAGGGGAGAAGGAACGGAGGAAGGAGGAAAGGAGGAGAAGGAGGGGGAGGGGTAGGAGCGATGCGCCTTAGCTTTATGTCGTATTCTATGGAGTCACTGGAAAATCTTTGAAGAGATCTGCGAAGTCCCCTGTGCGACAAGCCAGGGAGTCCCTTGGCGATGCAAATACAGGCGCCAGCATCACCCAGATTTTTGGACAGGTTTTCTCCTGTGGGGAATCGAACCTCATCGTCGGCGCTTCAAATTTAGCAGCAACCCACTGAACATTTCTATCCCCAGATGTTTACTTTAGCCATATTTGTTTACGATTTTGATTATTTCTTGTTTCCTTTCGGGTATTTATTTAATATTTATGTTCTAATATTTATCAATAATTAGGATATATGTACTTATTGTTGTTTAATTTTTTATAATAATCGCCCTAGGTTGGATTGGTCGTAAATTTAAGATGAAGATGATTTAAATTTTAGATGAATTCCAACTTATAAAAAAAGACGAACGCAAAGGGATGAATTAAAGAATTTTTTGTTTTAATAAAAATTTAAAGATTTTTCTCAGCAGAAAAAATTTTTTCAGGCAATTTAAAAGTAAATTATTTTGGCGGAAGTAATCGTGCAAAACAATCGAAGACGGTTTCTATAAAAAGTTTTTCGCCAAAGTGGTCCGAAGCTTCAACACTTTGTCTTTTACCAAATGCTACTTCTATTGCTCTTGTTTTGCCCAATGGAAATATTCTGTTAGTTCCAATGAAAAAAGTATTCGTAAGTTTTATTTTTTTGAAAAAAATTTGTAAAAATTAAAAAATTTCATGTAAATTTCAAATTATTTAAATGAATGAAAGAATTTACTTTCCCAAACCATTATTTATTTAATTATTTGATTGTTTATATTTGTTCCAGTGATATTTAGTTTCTTCTTTAGCACAATTTTTTTTTTAATGAAAATAAAAATTTCTATGAAAATTTAGATTTTTACAAAATAACTATTTCATTTTGTTTTATCATTCAGTTATATTATAGCGTTGAAACATTTTTTAAAATAAATGTTGTACTTCTGTTTTTGCCTTTTAATTATCAATAATTATAGGATATACCATGGGGACGCAACATTTTATCTAATGATGATAAATCAGTTATTTTAATAGATACAGAAGTTTCGGAATACGAGTGCCTTCATGTACCAACTGCTGCTGTCAGTTACGATGCTCTTTATTATAATCGTACTTTTGTTCTTTATAGTAATAAGGTAATATTTCAAATTTTTTTAGGCACTCTCTTAATTTATAATTTGAAATTTCATTCTTTTGAGTTTTTTTCCCAGTTCTTTTCTTATATTTGATTAATCTTAAATCTGAATTAGTTGATCTTGTGCTACTGGCAAGTCCATTGAACATTTTGATTCTTTTGCATAAAATTTTTTTCAAATCTTTTTAGGCTGGCCAAATTCGTATAATCGATTTAACTGTAAGAAAGGTGTCAATCGTAATACAAGCCCCGGAGAGTATTCATGCTTTACACTCAATTATTTCGGACCACAGTGTTCATCTTCTTGTTACAGGATTTACCGGTGCTCAGTGGTTTCTACCATTAGAAATTGATGGAAATAGTCTTCGAGGAACGCTTGGTCAAGTGATTCCGTCTGAATTGCAAAAAGTTGATGATCACCATGCTTTGAATGTTCTTCATAATCAGCAGATTTCTTCGCTGAATTTTGAAAAAAACGAAATAAGTATTTATGAAGATATCCATTTGAAGCACCTTGTGCATACATTTCCTGTGCCTGAAAATACTTGGCTTGTTCATATTGCCGAAAATGCCATTTTTGCGATATCAAATCAGACGTCCGTTTTTTTTGCCGTTCACTTGGGATTAGTTCCACCTTTTTATCCATTTACCTTTGAAGAATTGAAACCGTGTTTTCCTAATGAAAAAATTCTTGGTACAATACCAGTTATATCTTCTGATCCAGTTCCTTCATGGATTGCTGTAACTGATAAACAATTACTTTCTGTATTGCCAAAAACATGTCTGGAACAAATGATCGCTGATATTGCTGAAAGAAATAATTACTCCTTAGAGATATGCGATAATATCGCCAAACGATTTCATTATGATCGAAACACTTACTATATGGAAATCATTGGTTTAACGCTAAAAAAAATGGATCTTTCGAATGATAACTCATTAAAACTCTCAATGTTAATGAAATTAGCTTTAGATGTTCCATTAGATGTAGATGTGGTATTAGATGTTTTCGAAGAATTTGGTGTATCTTATTTGTTTCTTCCTTATGTTCTAAATCAGTGTGAAGCTGATGCTAATAATGAGCACAGGCATAAAGTTGTTAATCTTTATTTGTCCCGACTAAAGAAATTTCCAGCTGAAAAAGAATTCATCGAGCAACAATTGAGGTAAAACTTTCGATTTTATTTTTGGACAGCATTGATAAAAATATTATATTAGATTTATAAAAATATTAGATTTTGCATGATTTCTGGAAAATGAGGTAATTTAGTGAATCTTCGAAGAATTAACTCTTTATTTTGCTATGAAAAATGGATGTAAATGGAAAGAAGTAAATGGACAATAAATGAATTTTTATTGTCTTATCTATGAAAACTATTGTTGATTTTAGAATTTTTTTAATCAAATACCGCGATGTCTGCGGAGATATAGAAAGTTTGCTCGAAAATAATTTCTGGAGTTGTATTTCTGTGGTTGTGTCGCGGAATTTGCGGAATATGGAGTATCTTTCCTCGTATTTAGCCAGTAATAAGACCTGGCCTGTTGATCAACCATTTCATATTGTGAAATCATTATCCTTATTAAACTGGAATATGATTACCATTGTCGATCTTTTATTGGCGCGTTTATGTGATTTTCTTCCTTTCTTGAAATCTGCTTGGCAAATTAGAATTTTCGCTAAAATTGCGCAACAGCACATTGAAAAGTTTGTTTTTTACAATAAAAGAATCGCTTAAATCCATTTGTATTTCTTGATTTAATCAAAAAAAATTATATCTTTTCAGATATCCTCGATTAAGTATTATTCTATATACTCTTTCTATGTTGCGTTTGCTTAATTCTACGATATCAATTAATGTAAGCTTGAAATTTCCTTATTCCTTTATTTTTTTGATACTTTTTCTATTACACGCTTGTTGACCGCTTTCATTCTATAAAATTGGAATAAATTAGAATGGTTTAAACATTTTTCGTAATAAGATAGAATAAATGAATAATTGTAGCTATGAATTTCATTATGCTAAAATAATTATATATATATAATTGATAATTGATATAATTGATAGGCATATTAATAACATTTTCAGTATTCAAAATTGATTACCAATTCGATCGTATCTTGTGGATCAAACTGTTCAGCAGTTGTCTCAGAAGATGAATCACTTGTATTTTGGGGCGAATTTTGTTCAGGAACTATTAAAGGAAAAGATATTGGCAAACAGAGTTATTCAGATAGTTTCGGTATATCGAGGGCTTTTAATATGTGCCTGATACCTTTAATGCCTGATATGCCTGATCGTATTTGCAGTGTATCTTGTGGTACTGAGCATGTATTATGCCTCACAGTCTGTGGCGAGGTATATTCGTTTGGCTCCAACAGGTGATTGTTTTTTTATCTCTTATTTTTTTCAGTATCTAAAATCTCTATCGCTCATTTTTTAAAAAATTAAGTTAAAAAAAAAAGAAATTTGTGGCAACATGAACATGAAAAGTATAAAAAAAGAAATTTGAAAAGACAAGGATATCTTAAAAATGATCAGAAGGGTAGAATTTTTATTATACTTTAAGTTTTCCTTCATTTTTTAAAGGTTTGGGCAATGTGGTACTGGAAATAAGCTCGAAGTTCAACAACCCACTCGAATTGAAGGCTATATCGGAGTGCGTTGTATACGTGCTGGTCATTATCATTCGATGTTGATTGATTCAGGAGGTCGAGTCTTTGCTTGGGGTTGGTCATTATATGGACAACTTGGTTTAAATCGGAAAAAATGCAATGAAGATGTCACTCTTCCTATGCTTGTAGAATCTATAAGGTCAGCCCTAGTTATTCTCTTCAACTGAAAAAAATTTTTTCAAAATTTTGTGAGAAAAGAAATTTTAAAGTATATTTAGACCAAATTTTCAGAGAACCAGTTATTGATATTTCGTGTGGATATGCACATACAGTATTTTTAACAGCGTCTGGATCGGTTTTAACTTGTGGCTGCAATACATATGGCCAGTTAGGTTGTGAAAAACAGTTGAAAAAGAGATATTGTCCAGATGTTATTCCCTTTACCGAAAAAGTTATTATGATCTCTTCCAAGTTTTTCCACAGTTTAGCAATAACAGAGACGCAAAGGATTTTTCAATGGGGAATTAGTCCGCAAACATTACGGATGAAAATGTATATATTAAGGCGCTTCCGTTCTGCAGCTAAAGAAGCAATTAATAATGCTCCGGCTTGTGTGGAAAAAATGCCAGAAAACCGAGAACTTGGTGTCGAGCACCAGATGCCTCTTCAAGTGGAACACTTGGTTATTTTTAGTGATTTACTGAAAATTGGCAAAGACGGAACGAAAAGTATACAGAAAATAATAACGAAAATGTATTTCGATTCCAACCAAATCTTTTTAGTTTTTTTTGAAATAATGAACTTTTTTTTTAGTATTTCCGAAGAATAATGCTTTATGCAATATATTTTATCATACTCTTTATCATTTTCATCGTCACATTTATTTTTTATTTATTTATTTTATCTTTATTGATTTTTTTATCGTTTAATGTTTCATTATTTATATTTATAGAAATAGAAATTTATAGCAATCTTTCATAGATACCTGATAGAATAGCCTTTATTGACGCCGGTTATACACATAATGCAATCGTTACTACCACAGGAAGTCTGTATACGTGGGGAAAAAGTTTTGATATGCAGCTGGGTCATGGAAATAAAAAAGAGCAAGAGGAACCTCACCAAGTGTTTGAACCAAAAGGCATAATTTGGCGTTATGTATCTTGTGGTGAGTTCATGTAATCAAGTAAACTCATGATTATTTTTCAATTTAAAAATAATTTTATAATTATCAGTTTATTAGTAGTAAATTCCATATATTTGTCTTGTAGGCCTTGATTTCACGGTGGCTGTGGCATCAGATGGAAGCGTTTATGCGTGGGGCCGCAACGATAGGGGCCATTTAGGTATTCGTAGGAAGTCGGTACCATCTGCGCCTCGTAAATTGATTATCAAAAATGGCAAAGGCATAACGAAAAGTATACAGATAAATAATAACGAAAATACTTGTATTCCGATTGCAACCAAGCTACCTTTTGTCATCGCTTTCACTAAAATAGGCATGTTTGGCAATTTTTTTGCATCAGCATAATCTTAAATGAGCAATATCTTAAATGCATTGTTGTAGATGATCTGTCGCTCGATGTATGCTGTGCTAAATTTATTCGTTTACTGAAGAAGGCAGATCCAAATGCTATCAGCGAAATTTCCACATATTTATTGAAAAATCCAGTAGATTGTTTTGCTTCCATTTTTGTCCATTTGCTAGCTGGTGATTTAGTAAATGCAACCCAAGTATTTTCTCGTATATTAAAGTCAAATATAAGCATCATGAATGAAGGATTGCTAAACAAACATTCCGAATCGTCCAATAAAGGGAAAATTGATTTATTAATTGATATGTTTTGGGAACTTATCACAAAGCAGTCGAATTTTTTGATTCAGTGGAACGCGCTATCAAATCTTCAATCTTTTTTAATTTCAAATGATATTCTCTTACAAAATAAAAGACTTAATGCTCATATTCCTCTAATTTTTATTAATTCCGATGAGAGGTTGCTGAAATTACAACCAAGTGATAAGTTGAAACTTGTAGAAAATTGGAAATGCGATGTTTTATTGAATTCGATTGTGCAAATTCCTCAGAAGGATATCGCGGTTAGCATATTCCACCTATTATCTAACATTTTTTCGTATTTTCTTTGATGTTTGTCCAAGATAATGTGAAAAGATCAATTTGATTAGCCATTTCGCTTTTCACTGGATTTAAGAAATTTGAAATTCCGATAGGAATCAATATGAATTTTCTAAAATTAAGGAATTTCGCTTAAAATTATTTTTGCCTAAAATTTTATTCAGAATATGGGCGCTAGAATACGATATTGGAATTGTTGTGGTACTATTGAAAAATATAATAATATGCGCAATATACCAACAAATGATCGAAAGCGTGTGTGTTCAAAATGCTCGGAAGTTTGGAAACAAGCAGTCAAATCAAAATTAGCTAAAATTTTTTAAAAGTGCTGCATGTTTCGTATTTCAAAATTATTTTAATTGATTTCGCGATGTTGTTTTATCCTGAAATTTAACGGCAACGTTTTTGTAGAATTTTTTACAGAATTTGTAGAATAGTTTTTGTATTGCTTTTCTGTCATAAATTTTGCCGAAATAACTGCACGGGTCTTAACTTCGTTTTTTCATTATTAATCAATTTGTATTATTGTATTTATTTGTATTATTGTATTATTGTTATTTTAAAATTTATTTCGTGATTTACAATTCAGAAAAATTGCAAATTTCGTAATCATCATTTTCATTTCAGTTTTATTGTTTTTATTTCATTTATTATTTATTTTTTTAATAGTTCAACAAAACATTTTAGACCTCTTCAGTATTCATATTTATCTCGATTTTAATTTTTTTTTGACCTTTTGCAATTTGTTTATCAAGTATTAAACTAATATGGAAAAAATTGAAATAAAAACAATAAGGAAAAAATTGAAGTAATTGGTCTATAAAGAATAAAGAGTGCCTTTAAATTTTGGTTATTTTTGAGGTTATTTTGTATTTAAATGTATTTGAATTCATTTTTATAATGGTTAATGCAATTCTCGGAAGTGCCCTTGTATATTTTGTGGCTTATTTTTTAAATGTTAAGTATGTCAGATGCCTGTTCCAATAAAATAATGAAATGATTAGAATAAAAAAAACTTATAAACCACTGTTAAAATATTCTGCAAATTGAATTTTAGTTATTTCCCCGTCAATAGTATCTCATAAGACTCACTATTAGCGTCAAGGTGCCTAAATATACGAACAGATAGATTATTACAGCCCACTTGTGCTCCACAAAAGTATGTCAGTGCATTAAGATAGTCTTAAAATCTTCATCTCTTGTGTCTTGACCAGTATTTAACTTATCTTCTGTTTCCCTATTTAAATATAGTCGTTTATACTTGCAATGTTTTATTAGAGCAGGCAAATGCCAGAAAGAATCAGTTTCAGTAAAGCTATCTGTTTCCAAACCAGTTGTTGCTTCTGTCTTTATTCTCCCTGGCTGAACTACCTTTAAAGCTAAATTTCTTGCAATTGTCATTACGTTACAACATCGATAAATTTGCACTAAATCAGTTTATTAAGCTATTCGTTTTCTCGCTGCATTCTCTCATTACTCTTCCCAAATCCATTAGGCGATTCCCTGGTAGAAATTTCTCAACTAGAAATGGTGGGCGCCAGCCACTCGTTTATTCATATTCGCTGATTTATTAATTTACAGAAGTCGTAGAAAAAATTCGGAAGTTCATAATTACTTTTTCGGAGATCGGACGATTGTACCAAATCTTTTTTTTCGGTCACTTTTCACCAACTAACGGGTTGTGTAATGACAAATTAAAAATAATGATGTTTAAAAAATAGATCTAACGGCGAAATATCGCTAAATGGCTTTCTGAAAGATTAAATGTTTCTTGAAAAAATTTTTTTAAAAAATTAAGAATTTTTAATTTCTTCACTAAATTTTGAAAAATTACCTAGAAATATTAGATAAAATATTGAGACAAAGATAAGTCCTAAACATACGGAAAGAGTGGTGACGATCTGGTCATATGTGATTATTATATGTGACAATGATTATTTCTAGGCGGACGCTATCTTTCGAATCAAGATCGAATGATAATAGCTGACACCGTACACACTCCCTATTTCAACATAATTCGAGTGGATTAAAGGCAGAAATTGCGGTAAAAAGGAATTAGGTGTTAGGATAGAATATAGGCATTTGGCAAATGTAAAAGGTGCAGAAATAATGCAACGAGTTCAACGGGACAGCGAAAGCAAAAGGCTACTTTGGGGTATTCACTTTCATTTCTTTTGTACCTTCATATCCTTCATTAGGCCATTCAACGCCATCATTGGATCACTTTTTTTCGTACTCTATTGGCTCTTTTTGCTTTTTTTGTTGAGAAGACAGCAAATGTTAAGTGGTGTTTTGTTATCGTCATTTCGCGACCCTCCCAAGTGACGAAAGCTTGGTGAGCCCAGCCGGATTCGAACCCATAGAATGACATTTATTATTAAAATCTTGCCACTGGATTACCGACACATCCATCACTCCAAATTTAGAAAACTGCATTGTCAACCTCCTTTTCATTGATCCTTGACTGGTCTGCAGTCAATTCGTCGAAAAAGCAAGCCAGATGCTGGTTCGAATGTTTTTTCACCGTTTCGCTTAACATCTTTAATAGTATATTCCTTTCGCAAACAGTGGATAAATCGAATGAATCGTTTTATATATGCATCTCCTTCATATTTGCTAGAAATTTAAATTGTCGGACGAACATTCAAAAGGATTAGTTTAAACATCAAATTTCATGTCGATGATTAACATACCTATAAAAATAAATGAGAAAACAAAATGAAAACTTGATATCTGCGTAAATTTTTATGCTCAATTCTTATCGAGTCCTTTTCTGCAGTCCTTAAGAACCGAGGCCCCCATATCCACCCGCAATACACGCCGATATCTAGGTTTATTAATAGCACCACGAATGAAATTCAAATGCATAACAAGGCTTCTTTCCTTTGTCTCTTTTATTAGTTTGAATTTACATTAACTTTATACAATTTACGTCATTCTTGACAATTTTTAATGAAATTACTCGCAAAAATTAGAAATTTTCCAAATTAAGTAATCAAAAGAAGAAGCAAAAAAACAATCAAATAAAATACAAAAAAATGAGCATACATTCAATGCACCAATCTAAAATATTATTAAAATATAACCAAATATAAACATTAATGTTCAAGTTCAATCATATTTGATAAAAAATAAAATAAACAATTCACAATAAAAAATTGTACAAGGCAGAAATAATTTCACATCAATCATTAAGTTAGATGGGGGTAGATAAAATTAAATTATATAGTTCAATCAAAAGAAACTGAAGAATTTTTTTCCAAAAATTTTCAACCTTGTGGTGAACGGTGACAAATAAAATAAAGGCATATAATTAAAAATATAATATAGTGGTCGCAATCAATTTATGAACGATTCGATGGCCACAAAACTAAGAAATTCGCCTTGCATTAAAAACTTATAACCAAACATATTTCTAAATGAAAAATTAAGTAGCGAATATTCTTGGAACACAAAAAAATGGATATTTGAAATGGATAAATGAATGGAAACGAAGGAAGATGGAATCCTACGGGTTTGATTGATGATAGCGTAAATAATAAAATAATTTTTCGACCACCATTTCAAAGAAATTCGATTCAATTAAATGCAAGAGGCAGAGAAGCTAAAGATATCAGCTCAGATTATTTTATCCCAGCGTCCGTACTCTACCAGGAGCAAACATTAAAAAAACTCGAGTGATGGGAAAACTGGGAAAAATTTCTCTTCGTATTAGCAGCCAATGGGATTGGCCCAATCAGAAATTTCATATACTTTTACTTTTACTTACATAAATAATATAAAAAATAGTTAAGATAATAAAAGATGGTGACATTCCACAATATTACGAACATTACAAAACTATAAGTAATTGCAAAGCTAAAAATAAACCTGAAATTTATGAGCATTAGAATGATATGGTAGAACCATAAAAGTGAACCTAAAAGAGTACCTTCTTACAAATCTATCATCAATGACGCCATTACATCCTCTTACTCTGGCCAATTAATCAGCTAACTGACCGCTTCACCACAATTTCGATAGGATTAGAAGAGCTTTTCAACATCTTAACAACCGCACCAGGCGTTAAATTGTTCACAGACTGACCATTTATCTCCCAAAACTTGTCGCCAACGCGCAAAGTGCCATCAACATCAGCTGCACTACCTACACCAATAGTCCGAATAAAAATACCTGCAACATAAAGCTAAGCTATCAATTTGATCTGATCATACAAAAAATAAAAAATAAAAATTCGTTTTTTGTTTGGACATTGAATTCAAAAAAAATATTATCTGGAAAGTATTGAAAAATTTTCCTAGATTTCCCTACCTTCTAAGCCTGTCTTCTTCGCCAAACTGAGGCCAAGTGAACCAGTGGGTGATTTATCCAAAACAACTCGGATAATCTCTTCTTTGTCGTCCAAAAGATCATTATTTTGAGTCTCAGGATGTGCCAGACCCAGAACTACAGCATTACCACTATTTCTCAGCAAGTCAACAACTTGTTGATGAGTTAAATTTTGAGTTTTTTGTCCATTCACCTGAAAAAGCAATTTTTCAAAAACCATTCAAGCTATATAATTTTGACTAAAAATATTTACCACAAAAATTTTGGAAAATAATCGCAAAAAATAATAATCGCAAGAGTAAAAACAGAGCTTTTCTCAGTTTCCTTCAAATGGTATATTTTAAAGCATTAAATGCATATTTGAAAAAAAAAAACTTGATCGAAAAATTTATACCTATATTACTTCCTTCACAATTTTTTGATAATAGCAATTTTAGATATTTTAGTGATAATACGACTTTAAAGAATAAAATAAAAGAAATTCTCAAAAAAGAAAGAAAACCATAATACCATAATAAGCTTATCACCAATACGAATATTCGGATGAGAAAGTGCAGGATTTGCAGTTAATTGCTTAATATATACGGATCCACCACTTGATGCAATCTGTACTCCAAGATTTCCTGATTCATTCCGATTAAGATGAACGAAAGTTATTCGTGAGAAATCATTACTTTGGCCATCAACATTATCCAACAAAACCGGATCTCTGAATCAAAAATCATTCAATATTTAAGCATAAGGTGGTGGCAAAATTAAACTAAATTTCAGCAGAATACGGTATATGCTTTCAATGCTTTCCTAAAAGTTAGAAATCCTAAAAGTTAGAATCAGCTGAAATAAAAATAATGAAAATTTGACCTTGATTCAATATTGCTTTTATTTGTTTTTCGTGCATCAAAAAAATCTTTCGGCTTCGGAAGACATCTCATATCATAATTATCATTGAAATCAGATGTGTAAGATGAGTTGGCTATTATCTCATCCCAATCTAAATCATTTTCCAATCCATCGAGATTACATGATGCTTTTGATGTGTTTCTTATATTGTTTTGTTGCTTATTCCATTGGAATTCCCGATTTCCACTAAAAAAATTTAATTTAAGCAATCAATTTCAATGGATAATACTTCATAAATTTTCATTTCCATAAATCAAGATAATGTAAATCATAAATTATTTATAGAAAATTTGCGAAATAAATTAAAAGAACAAAATACCATGGATTGGTTTTCATATTTGCAAGAATTTCTTCACTGTTCAATTCAGGTAAATTGTCACCAACTGCTCCAAAGTCACTAACAGCTCTAATGCGTTTCTTGGGTATATCGGCTCGCTTCTTTTGTACTGGTGGCGTTCTTGATCGATTTACTAAATACACGAATGAAAACATAAAAACATTTTGTAAAAATAAGAAAGTGAACACTCGACAGTTAAAGCAAAAATTGAAAAATAAAGCCTCTTTATAAAAAAAACTAGAGAAAAATTTTTTAAAAATTTTATAAAATTTTATAAAATATTAAGGTAAATTAAAGCAATGAATTCGGAAAATATTTTGGACGAAAGAAAGTTTTCCATAAATAAACATAAATAAATATAAAATTTATAATAAATAAGAATAACTGTACTTGGTCCAATATCAGTGAGTTTCAAAGAATTATTATTCTGCTTTATTTCAGAACCTATTTTCCACTTGTTATTTACCAACATAGCGGATATAGCATCCCATCTACAAAAAACCATATATGCGAAATGCTAAATGAGAAAATAGGAGAAGTAGTAGAAAAACATCTGTATATTTATTTATTTCGCAAAATCTCATGCTATAGAAAACATAGATTCATTTAAAATTAATTTCGAAAAATAGATGCAGATCTATAAAGGCATAAGAATATAAAAGGCATAAACAGAAAATCTATGAAATCCAGTAAAAAGGAAGAAAAAGAGAATTTAAAAAATACCTAAAAATGCCAAGTCGAACTCGATTACCGCTCTCTTTAACCAAATCTACAGCTGCATGACGATCTTTTTCTTTCAGAGAAATATCATTAATGCTTAATAATCGATCGCCAACAAGAATGCCCTAGAAATAAGAAATCCACAAAAATGTCAAGGAAATTTGAAAATAACAGGCAAATAACAAGAAAAATATTTTTCGCAATTTTTTAGCGTTAAAATGATCGCTTCATTTAATTTTCAAAAAAAATAACTATCTTTTTAGGGAAAATTTGCATCACAATAATTGGAATGAATCGACTACTCACTCCATTCATTCCTGCACCTCCTTCTATAACTGATTTGACATAAACACCCTTGATACCATTTAGATTACCATCTACAAGAGTTAGACCGAGCCCCATTCTCGAATCTTTTTCAAGAATTACTTCAAACTTGTAGCCATCCCCATTTTCCACAGCTTCTACTATAGAGTTACCTTCAGCGTCGAATTGTCGGCTTTCTGTTTCTTAAAAGATATGTTACAATATAGCATTAAAAAATTTGAAAAACACCATTTTCATGTTTCAAATGTTTAAATAACCAAATGTTTTTTAATCTATTCACAGTTATAAAACGAATATAATTTTATAATTCATAGAAGCGATTATAATTTTCAGTGGAAAGATAATCAATGCAACGAAAACAACGAAAAAAAATTATAATAAAAGCGAATACCTCAAAAACAATATTTTAAGAAATATTCCAATATTTCAAACTGAAAAAATATTCCAAAAAAAATTAATTAACCTTTTGCGTTTGTGGACGGACATTCAGATTCAACAAGTAAGGGAATAAATCTATCACGCTGGTTAAAAATATCAGTATTTTCTTTCTTTTCTTCTTGCTTAGACGTTATTTTGGTATTATCGACGAGATCCTTCAATAAAGTTATTTTAAAATCTAACGCAGAATGAAATTAACTGGTGAAGCAGACTTAAGAGTAATAACCTACTTTTGTCAAAGATTCCAACTGAACATTTTCTGTTTTTTCAACATTTAATAGTGCTTGTTGCATATATTTAGAATCGCCAGGACGTAACGTTTGTTTCCACTGCCGCATTTTGATCATAAATCGATGCTGAGATGCAGCAAAACGAACAAAATAAGCGCTTCTACAAATATGATTATTAAAAATCAGGGAAGATAGCAGAAAGATAGGGAAGTAACAAAATAAATAGAAGAATAAATGAATAAATCTATAGTAGAAAGAAGAAACGTTTCGTCAGGTATTTATTTACCTATGAAAAAGAATTAAAAAAATATTTCTTAAAATGAAAAAAAACTTTGTATAATGATCCGTAAAGAAAACACTTCGTAGGGGCGTTACTTTTTCCGACACAATAACGAATCTTTTTTTGTCAAATTGCAATGTTTGCGTGTTTTGCCATAAGTGTTCATTAATTATGCGTCTTCCACTTCTTTAAAATGATAAAATATATGTAAAATATGTCATTATATCATTATATGAAATTTCGAATAAAATAGGTACGAGTCTGATTAAAATTCAAGTATTAAAACATTTTTATAAAAATTTTATGATCGTGAATGAAAAAAAAACGATTAGAATAATAGTAAAATTTTTTTATTTTTATTCTTGTTGATTTACTCCTCCAATTTCCAAAAATATTTTTACCTCTGTTCTTCACATTCAATGATCCCACGGGTTAAAATTCCAATCCAGTTAGCGATTCCCGTTTGAGGATCGCCAAAAGGAGTATTTCCGAGATTATAGGAAGGTTTTGATTTGAAAACACGATGTAAGTGCGCACCATAATCTGACAAATTCTGACAAGCCTATAAAATATTTTAGAGCAGTTTTTTAGCGATAATTTCGGGTAACATTAACGAAGATTACGAAATCTTATAGAAAAATAAATGAAATCCTTCAGAAATCACCAAAATAAACTGAATTTCAGCTTGTTGATTTGTCACTCCTTTGTACTGGCTATGAAATTCGGCAAGAACTGTCACCATTCGTTTCAGATTATTATTATCAATATATCTCTGAAATTTTGCGAACAAAATAAAAAAAATATCTTTGAAGTTTGAATTGTTTGATTCTCTATAACAAGCAAGATAAAGGAAAAGTTATATTTAAGTTATAACAAACTTTGGGCAAGTAATATTCAATATTGAAATAATCAATAATGGATGTATTTGACCGATCAGAAAATTCAGCTTGTAAAGCAAGAGCTGCCATTTCGAAGACTTTTTCTCGCGGTGGCTGAATATTATCATCCAGAAAATCTCGTCGTAATTGCAAATACAGTTCATGTAGAACTATATTCGTTCTAAAAAAAATGATAAAAACTAGAAACTAGAACTATAAATTTTTATTTTAAACAAATTTTTGGCGAACATACTCGAACCAATATATAAAGGTTTTATTTTGAAAAATTTTTACAAGATTTTATTCCGAAAAAATTGCTCACAGAATAACGATGGAATTTTCCAAAATGATAACAAATATTGATAAATTACTTGATGAAATCAAGAGATGCTGGATAATATCGAAATCGCAAATAAAGTATGTAAATGGATTTAGGGGCCAATTGCCGTGCATTCCTCCAACCTGGTGGAGCGAATTTTTCTAGTCGCTGATGGTCATCAAGAAAAAAGTGTTCGCCATCTGCAGTATAATGCAAAAAATTAAAAAATGAATCAGATAGAAAAAGCTTTTTAAGCTTAAACTTTATATTCAAATATGGAACATTGAACGATTAATATGGAGCATTTATCGGCATCATTACTGTTGTAAGATCATTCTTATGTTCTTTAAGACCGAAAAATTTGAGTGCGTCTATTTGTATTGTTGGGCTCCCAGTATTTGTTCATTCATCTTTCCATTATATATGTTTAATTTAAATGTTACCTATTATTATTAATGATTATTCTGTGCATTTTAATAATAATAAGATATTATTACTGTAATCCAGTGTGGTGCTTACAGTAAATTCTGAATTGTTACACAAGTTCTACAAAGTTTCGTAATGTAACATATTTCAATAAAATTTTTAACTGATTTAAATGTAATATGTTCTTCACTTATTTCTTCAAATTTGCAAAAAAAAGGAAAGCAAGATTGGATGATTATAAAAACCTTTTAAAACTGTGAGTCCAAAGAAAGAATTCTCAGTGTAATTCATGTGCCTCATGACAACGTCGGCTACCTCAAAAGCAATAGCATCAGACCGACAGCTAACTTCGATACGTTTTCCGTTCAACAATTCAATGACTACATCAGTCTGTTCAACGCGATGTAGAGTAATTTTTTTCTAAATTCGAAAATATATTCTATTAATAAGAAATAAGAAATCTAACCTAAAAATAGCACAAAACAAATAAAATAATAAAAAATTAGGATGAATAATCTTGAAGATTGGAAAAAATAAAAACTTGCTTTGCGCAACGCCGGTGCTTTTAAACAAACGTTTCGAGAATCCACGTTGCTCACGAATTCAGGTTCTGCTTTTGTCTAGAATGAAATCAATAAATGAAACCGAAAAATATAGAAAAATTAAAAATAAAATGAAAAAATGCCAAAAAATGATTTTCAGATTTCAGAATGAAGATTTCAGATCACTTTTCGCTTTAAATGCCTTTCTGATGATTTTCTTCCACTTATACGATGAGGCAAAAGAGAATTCTGTCTTCTGAATTGCTGAACTGAAATTTCTTAGCTAAGAAACTGATTGGTGATAGTTTCATCATTTAAAAATAAAAATCAAAAACAGTTGTTAAAAGAATGATAAAATACTATTACCGACGAAAGAAATAATTCTTTTAATTGTAAAATATAGCACATAAAATATAGCGAGAATGCAAATATTAAAATTTTTAAAATAACAAAAGATGGCAAAAGTGTACTGATTGGTGTCATATTTTGAATAAAAATAAAATGATATATAATTTTCAATAAATCTATGGAAAAATAAACAAAATAGAACGGCAAGAACCTTTAGAATGATCTAATATTAACAAAATCAGTACCATCTTCTATAATAGGATCTTTTCTTTCAGCTTTATCATTCTGAATTTGATCATTGATATCCTTAATGAATGGTGGAGACAATTCGTTTAAACGATTATATCGTTGATTTGGCTAAAATATGTAATAAGTGAACCTGACTGAAAAATCAGCAATAACATTCAAACATAATAATCAAAAAAAAAGATAAAATACAAAATTTTAGAGATTTTAAAAGGATGAATTTTTGAATCATTCTCTATACGACTTCCGATTATTTCTCTTTTGAAATCACCATTCCTGTGAAATTATAACAGTCGCAGGTTTCACATAGCTCTATTTTCTGCGAATCATTTTGGTTACTTGGAAATCACAAATAAATAAGATGAAAAATGGCTAAATACAATATATTAATGCAATAATTTATAGATATTTAAAGATATATTCTTCTTCTTTTGACAACTCTCATTACTGGTTAGGCTGGCTATAAGGGTAAGAATAAGGGTAAGATAAGAGTAAAAAGGATTTCCAATCTGCGCGATCTAATGCCATTGTCAATAGCACAAGAAGCCATTCTTTTTTCCATAGTCTAAATGCATATGACGCTGGTTTTATACGTTCAAAATTTCTCCCGACCATATCAATCCAGGTCTTGATTGGTCTACTCACTTTTGACGCCACCAATCACAGAATTTAGCAAATAATGAAATATGTCTAGTGGTAGGAGACGAAAAACGTGCCCTAACCAGCGAAGATGACTCTCTGATGGTAACATTTAATTCAAGTGGTATTTGAACGAGGATGCGATAATGTGAGATCCACTCTCCACTCTCAATGGCCAGATCTCGCAGCTCAGATCAGCACAAATTTATATAGTGATTAAAGTAAAAAAAAAAACTTTTGCAAAATCCGAATTATAAGCCACTGCTTTATTTTCTGAATTTGCATCCAAAAATTCCTCGTGAATATTGTATCCATTTTCCTAAGAAATCCTATTAATTGGCAATTCAAGTAAACAATTACCTTATTTGAAAAGAAATATAAATTAATTATATTTAATATTTAAAATTATAATAAATATTTAAAACTCGAAATCTTTCATACGCGTAATTTATATAAAGAATGGAAGCCAATAAAAAAAAAGAATGAACTTTATCAACGGCCTCATTCACTTCAGAAATCGGCGAAAGTGAAGAACATGAATCGACCGCTTCGATAATTTGTGGCAAAACGATTTGTGAAAACGCCTTAGGCGATCTAACAGTTTCATTCAATGAAAAATCTACCTTAAATTATATAATATATAAAGGACTAATATGAGAATTTTCCTTCAATAAAGACATGACATATGGGAACAAATATTTAAATTTCTACAATCATAATTTTTACAATTATTTCTACAGTAATTTCAATTATTATAATGCATATAAAACAATAAAATAATTTTAGAAAAAACATATATATATATAATAAATATGTAAAATACATTGTGAATTATTTATTTATTTTTGTAATGCCATTGAATGCCACATCATTTTTACATAATGTTAAGTAAATAATAGGAAAAAAATTACGCTATTTTCTACTTCATCCTCTTTATGTTCCACTATATCGTCATCATAATTGAAATCAATAATTTTACTGCTTTGTGGCCACTGAAACGCCTTATCTATCCTTGGCCCTTCAAATGATCTTTTAGATCCATCAAAAGATTCCAGAATCATTTCACTTTGATCCAAATGTATACTCCCTTGTTTCTCCTTACGACATTCACTGCTATTTTGCTTCGGCGGGAATTCATTTCCAGAAATCGAAAAATCAATACGTTGCAGAGTAGTAGAAGGAACCTCAAATATTTTTCTACGTCCGTAATTTGGAAAAGAATCATCGAAATCATCGAAAACTATTATGAGACTGATAAAATAATAAAATCAATTACTGAATTCTGTCCATCGCGACAATCAATGAAAGGATCGTCATAATCCGATAGAGCTGTTGAAGCTGACGTATCATTTTCAAAGGGATCACAATTTATTAAGCCAACTAAGCGACCATCTTTTAACTCACCCTGCAATTTTTTTTTTATATTCAAAAAATTACCATTGAAACTTGATTAAACTAATGGCGTCGAATAACATAGATCAATGACTGAAAATGAAATAAACAAAGCTTTCGTTTTTTATTATGATATAGCGAAGCTTATTTCAATTCTATTTGATCTTTGAATCTCAATTTTTCAAAAAAAGTGCAAAAAAATGCGCAAGGAAGAATGATAAGAAATAATGCAAAAAAAAAAACAAAAAACCATATTTCTAACTAAAGGTTTAATCAAATTAAGTAGATATCCTACCAAATCTTCTTTTTTTTCCGATTTAGCCAAATCGACTTGTTTTCCTGACACGGACAAATCCAAATCCACTAGTTTTTCTGCTTTATACTCATCCACTTCGTTCTTGGATTCAGTCTCATCAAATTCTCTTAATTCTTTAAATTCACCCATTTCTTCAAGTACATACATCCCAGATGAAACATCCAACTGCAAAAATCGAATAACAAAGCATAAAAAGCCAAATGTGGCACAACTTTTGCGAACAAAATATTTTTGCAAAGAATAAAAAGAATGAAAATGAAAAAAATACAAAAAATTTAAAAAAGTTATAATTACTAAAAAAATAATATTGAAACAAAAAATCAAAATATTTATAAACCAGTAATGTGCAGATGATTCAGATTCAGTCAATTCATAATTTACCAAAATTCTTGTATCAGATTCATTTTAAAAAGTTATTATCACATGCAAAAAAAATGATTGCGTTTATTTTCTTCTTTTAATACTATTACTCCTATTGTTTAAGCTGGTTCCGCTGACTACAAATGTGAAGCATTGTTTCAAACCACTCGCTCTAATGCCGTGCACAAAAGGTGCCATCCCTTTTTTCATCGTCTAAGCCCATACATCGCTGGACCTTCTCGAACGTATCAATCCAGGTCTTGACTGGCCATCCCAGCTTTTAATGGCATTCATTATAACAGAAAATGAAAAAATGTATCTAAGTATGAATATTTAAAGTTAAGATATAGTTTCTTGATATTCTCACTTGCAACATTTTGCAGTCGTTATAAAAGATATTGCGCACGGTAGCCATATAAATATCCCATAGCGGTTTCGTCAGAATCAAAAACATCCTTATCTTATCCTTATCTGTGGATTGAAATTTCTCTTTTTGTTCAGCCTTAGTAAAAGAGGAATTTAAGATCTAAATCTGACAATTGGTGATAAATTTATAAAAGTAAGCATTCATTTAGTGCAAGGTTTGCAAGATGAGGCTTTCGTCTTATCCAAATTGATAAGAAACTTAATTTTCACCACAGTTGTCATATGCCCTGTGACATTTTTTGCAGCTCTTTATAACTGACAGCAAAAAGGATTATGTTAACGTATTCAAGATCTGTGCTCTGCTCCTCTAGATCTAGATGCAGATCTTGAGTATCAATAAGAGGCAACTATAATCCAATCTATAGCATATTTGAATGCTGTAGAGGAAAGAAGGCAATTGTGGTGCATTTCAGTTTCAAAGGGATGTTAGTTTCATATGCCGAGATGAACACTGATATAATACTTTATGATAGGTAATACACAACACCGTCTCTGGAAAATACTACCGCATTCCATCTTCCAGAATATCCTTCTATCAATTGAATAGAAGACAGAGCAAAATCAATAAAACAAGCAACTGATTCGCGATATCAATCTAAAATGCTTCTTAGCGAGAATGTTGGTCTCCCCATCCTCGTTTAAATCTTGCCTGGTTAGAGCGAACATTACTTTCTCGTAATATTCTATTCAACAAAAAGGATAAGAAAATTTTCCCAGAGACTAATAATTTAATTCGTCGACAATTCGTCTATCATCTTTCTTGGATATAAGAGCACGATTAAATTGTGAAAAAAATTGGACAGCATTTAAAGACTTCAAACAGGGGAATGCCTTGATCAGGAATTTTATCTGCATTTCTAAATAATGAAGATTATTTCATATTTTGTTGGCAGATTGCATTTGCAACCATGTAGTTCAAAGACCCCTTAATTCTTTCCAAAACGCAATGACCTACCGCCATGGGATATCATGCACACAACAGAAGCGCACACCATAAGTATTTTCTTTTTTTTTTTCATCACACAATTATTTAAGGACACCAGTTGAGATCTCCAATAGCCACTCGGAAAAAAATAAAAGTATTTAAAATTGTTTTCGAAAATTGAAAGTAAACTACTAAGAAACTAACGTCATCAATATCTTCATCTTCATCCCCCATTACAAGTACAAACATTTCAGCCAGAAGAGCTTTGGGATTTTGTATATTAAGACGATTTTTAGCCATCTGAGCTAATCTGCAATAAATATTTTGATACTGAAGCTATCTTCAAATTTTTTCTTCCTGAAAAATTTAAAATCTAACACCAAAAAAATAAAATTAAAAAAGGTGCGATTGTTTAGCCAATTTCTAAATGAGGTTTTTCAGACAAAAAAAAAGAAATGGAAATAAAAGACCTGGTGGGCGATGGACGAGTGGCAATATGTTCCACAGTCATTATATTAACAAGAGAGAAAACATCAGCATTTTCAACTTCATCACCACCCGCGAATTTCACTACTTGTCCCAAGCAAAATACATGAACTGCGGCTATAACATAAGTTTTTTATAATTTTCTAATCATTCTGACTTAATTTGGAATATTCTGAAAATAAAAATAGCTATTAAAGATTGCGCAGTTTAAAAGACCTGCATCGACTGTAGTGTTCCCTTCAAGTATTTCCGGTGGTACAAACTGTTCATCGACTTCACTAGGTGCGGCCGTCTTTATCTAAAGTTTGCTGATTATCAGTAAACAGAAAGAAGATTATTTAAACAAAATCTTTTTCCAAAAACAAATTCGTTTTCGGTCCTTAGCGTGAAACTTCTGAAATTAAACATCTTCAAGCGGTAATCCTAAATTTTTCAATGGTAAAGCCGAATTTATGCTATGAAAAAAAAAATGATTTTATATACAACGACATATTCGTCTGAATGTCTTTCAGAAAATAACCCATTAAAAAAAAGATCATAAAGATAAATCCATTAACCCTTAAACTCCCATCACTATAAATAATAATATGATCAGCTGTGAAGACGCCTGTCGGTGTTTTTGATAATTGTTCACAGCCAATTAATATTAATGCCAATAATTCATCAACGTTAAAACCAGAGCCTCGAACTTCAATTATTTCTGACACTGAAACACCGATTTCAGCCATTACATTCTGAAAAAATCTACATATTGTTTCTGATTATTCATCAAAAGATACTTATCGGACAAGTGCGCCGACAAGACGCTATGCGTTTCCTACCTTTGCTTTTCCCTACTGAATTTTTTTTTGAGATTACCTATTACACGCGCTATAATTCAAAGCTCAGCAACAACATCGCCAACGTTACTCACTACTCCGATAAAACTTTTTCCCCGCTCGAGGAGTGAACAAATTTTTAAATATTCATTTATTATCTAACCTTGGTTAAAATAAACTAATTTTACTTATGTCTTGCGCCCTATTCTTTACTTATTCAAGAAAGTGACACCCTATATGAGAACACTGAGCAGATAGAAAGGCATTCGGGCCTGCACACCACGCACTGCACGATGCACTTCGTTTCAGGGAGGGCGAAGCGCAGCGGAAGGCGATCAGCGCGCAAATAAATCGGCCGAGGCGTCACATAAATAAACAAACGATGAGACAGCACTTCTCGGCGGCTCAATTTTACGGCTTTTCCCCGACTCGTTTCTTCGACTATCTCAACGTTTTTCACTTTGCTTTTTTCAGAAAAATTTTAAAAAATGTGGTTGAAAATATGAAATAATAGAATAATAAAATTAAAATTCAAATAACTTCAAACGAATAAATAACGAGAAACTTAATAAATTACGAAAAATAAACACGCTAAATAAACAAATTATCTCGATAAAGTTAATTGCGATGAGAACTAAATTTCGCCAAAAAACCAAATTCCTGATTGAAAACAACAAAAAACGAGCCATCGCAGCAATCAACATCGCATATAACCAACGCAATTCTTCAAAAAAAATCAACTCAACCGACTTTTAGCACATGAATTACTACTTATCAGATGTTAATTTTTAATCACCTTCAGCCATCATCATTGCAGTTTCACAAACGTTTTTCGCTTTGGTAAACGAGTTTTCATATAAACAAAATAGTTGATAAGTTTAATTTTCTTTATTGTAAAACAATTTTTTTACGAACTGATTTCTCGAATTTCGCGATTTTTAATGAAAACAAACAGTGGAAAATAGAAATTATTTTTCGATTATATAAAACGATGCAATTTAATGAAAATAAATGAGAGAAAATTAAATTAAATTGTTATTAATTTATTGAAATTATTTATTGAAATTTATTGAAATTGAAATTAGTTTTATTATTTATTTTGCGTCCTTCTTTCCTCTTTCCTCTCTCTTCTTTCCTTTCTTTCCTTTTTCAGCGGCGTTTATCGCTGTTTATCGCCATCGACTGCTCGCGGCCGCCGTTCCATTTGGACATTGAGGAGCATTTCACGCGCTCACTTTCGTCATGTAATCGTCAACAATCATTCAATACCTGTGATTAAAATTACCACAGAATTAAGCGGAAATGAAAGTTATAAAAGGTTGCAAAATCCTAAATACTAATTTACTCGCCTCAGTTCAAAGAATTTAAAGCCGACGCTAATTTCAATTTCTGAATTACCAGTCGAAATCTCTCAAAATTGGCATTTTAAGTCACACAATACTTAATAAATTTATTGCAAAGAGAATAGAGGAAACTGTAAAAGTAGGTGAATTATGAACTAAATGACCCGCGTCATTCATCTGTATATTCCGTCGATCTATTTCAGATTATTCTAAATCGTTTTACGCGTATCAAGAGAATAAAATGACCAACCAGCCGATCTGTGATGCCTTTGCCGGTTTTTGAAGAAATGAGAATTTGTGCTGAGTGGTCGAACTGAATGAATTTACCAAAAATTCTTTAAAATATTAATTTAGTTCTGCAATTCGATTTATTCACTTATTATTCGTTGTTGTTCATTAATTATTTTTCGAGTAAACTGGAATTCGGGAAAATTCTGTTGGATTTAAATTTAATTTAAAATTTCAGTCTCAGTGATAAGCGGCCAGCAGCTACTTATCACTAAACCGAACATGTAAGGCAATTCTCAGTTTTCATGAAACTAAATATGAAGAGAAGAGAATGTTCGAATGCTTGAGCATTGCTTTGTCTATCAATTTTAGCATCACAATTCGGCGTTTGCCTTTCGATGGAAGAAACGTAAAAAGTCAAATCGAAGCGATGCTCTACTAATAAAAAGTGGAGCAAGCCGCACCAGAGATATTAGCGAGTGTCGAGTGGGCCCTGTGGTGTCGTTGTCATTGAAAATTCGGATGGTTCATCTGTCACCAAGTGACTCCTTAGCAAGCTGCTAGTTAAATATGCTTTACACTAATCGTTCCATTAATTAAGAATGGTGAGTGTCGCGGAGAGAAGAAATCATACGTCGTGAAGTCCCTAATTACATAAAACTGAAAATCGATTCGAATGTAATTGCAAGAGCATTTAAAATAAAAGATTAAAGGCATTTACTTACATATTCATTGGAAATATTATAAAGCGAAATAATTTGCAATTCTACCGAAACTTAGAATGAATGAAATATTCAATTTAATCATATTGGAATTTGCCGAAATTTCCGCGTTATTTTCAGCGTTATGAATTACTTCATTTCTTTGAAATGATTTTATTTGAAATAATTTAAAATTTCGTTTAAATTACTATTATAACGAACAATATAGAACTGCAATGCAGTGCTGCAATAATCCTAAAATTAAATAATTGAATAAAGCCAACACTTCGCCAGTTCTTATAAAAATTCTTCATTTAGCTTTTTAAATATTTTTAAAATTAACGAAATGAAAAAAATAACGATGATTATATAGTAGAAATATTCATCGTTTATACAAAAACTCGTAAGCAGTTACTTATATAAATAAGTGACCTTGCAATTATATTTCGGGATCGTATAATTTCAATAAACAGGTGTTAAAAGTGTGAACTAGTTGGTTATGCTATAAGTAACAAAAATTGATGGCACTAAAAATTACGAACCGCGAATAGCACAGTCGGGCAGTGGCTCAGATTATCGTCGAAAGCATTAAGATTCGGATTGTGCCCTCGCCAGAACTGAATCTGTATTAAAATTCCGGGAAACGCTGGCGACTCTCCTATATTTCTATATTTCGATTGCTGAATGACTTCACGGCAAAAATTTCTCAATGTACTAATATTTATTTTTAGCACTCACCACTTTTTACTACATGAATTGCACAAAATCCTTATAAAATGGTAGATAACAAGGATCGTACCCTTTATCATACTGCCAGCATCCTACAGGAACGTTACAAATCCTATATAATTTATTATCACCTTTTACATTCTGAACAACTTAGAAATCAGAGGAATTCACGAGAAATTAACCATATTTAAATTATGATTAATTAAACTAATTTCAATTTTAAATTTTCTTTACAATTAACTTCTAAAATTTTATTTCCATAATATTTAATTGGCAACAGTTTTAATTAATTATTACATTATTACATTAATTAATTATGCGATGAGTGGTTGTTGGTTGTTGGTTGCACGACTGCCGTATTATTCATTAAATATATATATAAATACTTTCTGTATAAATGATAATAACTTCGAGCAATATAAAGGAACTATATATAAATACACGATCAAAAAGTTGGCAATGAGGAACAATAAAAATTAGATCATTTGAGCTTCGCAAAGATCAAATCTATTCAATTTTTGTAGTATTAAAATGGAATTTCTGCTTTCAAAAATTTTATTTACATTATTTATCATTCTTAATTTAATTTGAAACACACTAGAAAATTATATATTATATATTAATATATATAATATACAAAATAAACGTTCAATTACAGCCGAAATCTTAATGAGAAGAAATATTATAAAGGGAAAACCTTATCGAAAGTACATCTTGTGCAGAAGACCCATCGCTATTACTATTTGCAAGTAACTCTGTGGCGAATTAATTTCACTATAGTATTGCCAATAAAGGCAACCAAAGCTGAAACGGCGAGCAATGTTCGGTGAAAGACCATGCGAATTGAAAAAAATTTGGCTTTCATAAGTTTTTAAATGAATGAAAGCATAGATTCTATAAAAAATTTTCGAAATTTTTAGAAGGAAAATGCTTAGATATTTTCTTAATTAAATGAAATTAAAATGGAAAATTTTTTCGACAATGCACAAATCAGAAAATGGAGAAAAACTGCAAAAAATGTAGAAAAATTTTTGACTGGAAATTTTAAAGATTTCAAATTTTAAAGCAAGCTAGCCTATTAGACGGTTGCTCCACTCGGAACATTCATATTGAAGTTCCTTCTGGAAGAAGTAAACGTGTCCAAAAACCTCGATGATGCTTACGTCTAATCTGCATTTCCATCACCAAGAGATTCTCTGGTATATTTGTCTAATCTAACAAGTCTGCTTGAACGATGCCAACCAGCAATGATGGATACTCTTAGCGCCTTTTAAAGATTGTTTATTTCCAAAAAATTTCAAAAATTTTTTTATTCATTTGCCCTCAATCTAACCTAATGTTGCAATTAAAAATTTTTTCTTATTCGATTAAAGGAAATAAATTTAAATAATTACTAAGCCTAAGCGTGGAAAAAACAAAAATCAATAAAATTCTTCAAATTTTTAAAATATTTTCGCTATCGTAAAATCGTAAAAAAAGTACAGAATTAAATATTTCCTTATCTTATCTATTTTCTATTTATTTTAAATAAAATGAAGTAGGAAAAATTGCTTTTAAATGATTTCCATTACTGAAATGTGAAACGTTAAAGCACCAATAAAAATTGGCCATTATCGTTATATTCTGCTCCAACTGACCTGAAAAGGTTTATTTTTCCATTATCATCCGTCATCGTCCTCACTGAAACAGCATTCACTTCTTTTGGCTTGTTGTCTCCACTTGCTATAAAGACCAAGGTCCTTTCGCTCAAGACTCAAGATAGAAGTATTTCCAAAACTCAACTTTTTGCATTAGTTCTTATCAATATTTGCTTAACCTACTGAAAATTCTTGTTTCTTGTTTGAAAATTCTTGTTTTTATTATAAATATTGCGATTTTTCATTCAATTCTGATATTTTGATTTCACAGAAATAATTTTAAAAAATGGAGAATAGCAAGAATATATTATTTATGTACAGAAAACAAATAAATAATATATTAAAAATATATTCAACAATATATATTAAAATGATACTTTTATTCAGTTCCACTTCATAAAAGCACTTCTCAATGTTTCTCGAGGAATACTCACTAAATATAATGTAAAGAAATAAGCTAAACCTTCTGTACAATACATTTCATTTACTGCTTAATGGGACAACAAATAACTGGGATCGACTACAATTGCATTTGTAATCTCACAGTCATTGAATCGAAATATGGCCTAAATGGGGAAATATTCTCGTAAACGACACTGAAACAAAAGAATAATAGCAAACAATATAGAAGGCGGAATTAAATGGAATGTAACTACTTAGTATTCACTGTATAACTTTTTCATCAATGATCAATCTTTTATACAATAATGGCAACCGTTGATATGAATCGATTTTTTTGATTATTTCAATCCAAAATTCAATCGAAAATATGAATTGTTTTCCCATTTTATTTCAGTCATAAATTGAAGCAGATTAACCTTTCCCTATTGAAATTTTCATAATTTTGAAGCTAATAAAAAGAAAAAATTGAATAAACAATAAATAAACAAGAATGAGTGGTTTATTTAAATTATTAGTTACGCAAGCCAAATAAATGATATTTTTTAAAGAAATTAATTCATTCACTTCTGCCCGAAACCGTGTTATCTAAACTTTTTTTTCAAAAAGAGAATAAATAAGTTTTATTTGCTATCAGTAAGTACAACATAAATGATTCTCAATAAGATAAGAGCAAAAACATATTAATACAAAAAAGAAACGAAAATGCAAACCTCATATCATATCATAACAATATCATCTTTCATTGAACGAGACAGTAGTGCTGACTTAGCTACCGTAGAAGCAAAACTACCATGAGCACTTACTGATTCATTAAAAGTCGAAAAACTATTCTCCGATAAGTTCGGTTGACTTCGCCTTGAACTTTCATTGATATCAAACAGGTTCACATCTGGATTTGAACCGATTCTGTAATTAGAAAATGCGAAAGATCAAAATCTATTAATCATCTATCACAATTATTTATGAAAATTTTTTAGTTAACTTCTTTTTTGGCTTTGGAGGAACTGGTGGAGGTGCTCGAAGCATTTTTTCGCTGCTTAATGTACCAAGACGAAAATCGTACGCAACATTTCCAGATGAGTTGCGTAACTGTCGTAGAGGACTTATACTTTCAGTTTTATCCAGTTTTCTATAAAAAATTTGCATTTAAAACAAAAATTTCATCAGTATCAATTACATCAGTAAACTTAAATGAAATTTTTAAGTAATAAATCAATAAAGATTCATGAAGATTCCTGAGTGAACAATTATAATATGTAAACAAATTAATAAGGGATAAACGAATAAATAAATAAACAAATTATGAAGCTTAAAAAATCCATATCCTTAAGAACTTTAAATAAACTTTTAAAGAATTAACACAATATAAGGGAATTAGAGATGTAACTGAGATCCTATGGAATACTTGAGGAAGATTAAGGAATAACAGATTCTAAGGAAGTCCTCAACCAAATAACTTTAACGGTTATAAGAAATAAAGATCAAATAAAGGATATTACGTTAATGATACTAATAGCATTGTGCAAAATGGTAGAATGACGCTGATGGCACATTAAGGAAATACTATCAAAATAAGTGACTGATTTTTAAAATTTTATCTAAAAAAGAAACCGCGTGTAATGTGTAATAGTGGATCGTGTGCTTGAAGATGGCGAATTTTTTGTATCAAATTGATCATTTGACGTATTGACACCAGCTTTTAGATCCTCACCCCACTGAACAAGCATTTTATATGCATTCTGAGCATCTTCTGTCCAATTCTCAGGAAAAGAATTTTTTATCGTAGATCGTTGTATTTCCACACTATAATAAAATTTAACCGCTAAACAAAAAATTTAATTGCGATAATAATGATCAATTGCTAAATGATTGAGCAAATAAAGGTAATGCATTACTTTCTTCAAAAAATAAAATATAACAAGAAATTTTCGGAATTGAAAAAATGTTTAGAAATTTGATGAAAAAACAAAATGAAATAAAGGCAAAGTCAGAATTTTTATGTCTGTGGGTTACTGCTCTTTGGAGCACCGATTCTACTCTCGACATGAGTAAATTCATTTTTCAGATTCTGACGACCCATCTGTATTTCTATCACTAAGTGATTCCTCAGAAAAAATTTGCTCAATCTGAGAGGAACGCTACCAGAAACGGTGATGATTCTTCAAAAAAAGAAGGCATAACTGTATCGATATAGCTCGGCCCAATATTTCCTTTATATTAACGGCAATTCATATACAGAACCACAACTCATATACTAGCATTTGTAAAGTATAGTTATTGGTCTAAGGAAAACCCTTACTCAATCAAGAACATGTTTTTTTTGGACGTTATCTATATTTAAAACAAATTTTCTACATTTTTTAAACAATAAAAGATATATACGATATCTATATTTAAAGATACGATATCTATATTTTTTAAATGTGTTTTTACACATTTCTACAAGATTTTTTTGCATGTCACATAAAAGTAAACATTCAAAAAAGAGATAAAAAGGAATAAGGGATTTATAGTAAGTTTATTGGTGTTAAATATTTATTTTTTGGATTGTTCCCTCCAATGATGAACCCGATCCATCTGAAAAATTAATACATAAATGAGCTATTGGATCAGGATAGACAGATGTATTGATATTTGAGAATAACAACAATAACAAAAGAGCAGATAAAAAAGAAATTAAAGGGAAAGTTGGCTGGGTCCTCAGCATTATCAGCATTCCAGTTTTAATGAAACTCTTGCGAAAATTAATTTAAAAAAAGATTATCTACACAACCTGAATATTTTTGAATTATTTTTGTCGTGGTTTTTATGTTCCTTGTTCAAAAAATTTTTCCGGTTTAATTCTTCCTTTCGCTGTCCGTCCATCAGTTCCTTTCCGACCTTTTTATGCTGGTGCAATGCCTTAAATTTCTCTTTCAAATAATTTCCTCTTTAAATTGTTAATTTTTCTCATATTTTTCGTTTTTTTTCTTATTAATTTTTATTACTTGACATGATTATATATATTATATTTTTATTATTTTATTATTTATTATTATTACAATTTATTTATTATTATAATTTTTATTATTCTAACTGTTAATATAAGTACATGGCATTGTCGCCCTGTTTGGTTGGTTTTCAATAAATAAATACTTAATTTTTATATATGGAAGATGATAATCGAAACGAACTTTTTCTTCCCATTTTTCAAATTCGTTCTGAGACATGATTCGACAAACAGACTGTCCACGCGATCTAAAAAATGGAACATCTTTACTGGCCTAAAAATATATTTGAGGAAATACCCGATATAAATGAAATATACCACCAAAAACTAAATTCTGTAGGATTCTGAAGGGTTATGCCTTTAAACATCAAAATATTCACTTTTCACACAAATATTCATACAAAAATACTAAAATATTCACTTCATACTAACAGGTTCGCAAACATTTGGCGATTCAAGGTCTTCCGAAATATGACCATTGAGTATATCAGATTGAATAGTATTAATAGTAATAGTATTAACATTAGATTTCTGAGGCCTGAAAAATCACGCTATCACTGATGAATTAAAGAACGGATAAAATGAATTCAATATGGACCCCACTGTCCACTAAATAAAAATTCCTTAATGACATACAAAGTCACGACGTCACTGGAGAAATACATAAGTTTTTCTGATGTTGGATTATTAAGCTTGGCTCTAGGCAAAGAGGTCAAGAGGATCTCTTCTTCATTAGCCAATGAATCTAGATTCATATCAGATTCTGAGATAAATGTTTCGCAGGTTTCGTTTTTATCCTTTATGACCTTGAAAATAACATAAAGCTATAAATGTATACAAAATAACGACAAAAAAAAAACATTGCACCCTTAAAATTTCCAGAACAATCTCATTTGAAAAAATGAATGAATGAGTACTACTTTCCACCAATGAAACTCGGTATCCCGCTCGAAACGAATATTATTAAACAAATATTATTAAAACTGATGAGTATTACTGATGTTCATCGGTATTTCTTCAAATGATTCATTGTTTTATCCTGTTAATAGTCAACAGAATTAGCTTAACCAGAAATAAAAGATTTTAACCAGCTACGACGAAAAAAAACAGCTGAAACAAACCTGCATAATAGCTGAATATGATTTGATTGGTTTGGAAGCTACCGGTATTGGAGGAATTTTTTGCTTTGGTGACAACGACCTTTTCACATTTTTGTCCTTAAAAAATCGAATATATAGTAACCTTCCTATTTCCAGTTTGAATAACTGGTTTAAATTTCAATTTATGCTCAGAAATAACGAAAAATTTCAGAAAATTTAGGTAAACAGAATATATTATGATACTTGAAAAGATATATCATTCCGCAAATTTCTGTGTTGATCTGGTGAATGCAAGGGAGAGAATCGAACTGAACCTTCAACGACAGATAAAGGAGGTAGAGATGGAGAACGGCAAATTGGCACTGATGGAATGAACGGCTTGATAGCAGACGGATGAATGCGAATAGTATCACCTTTATCTCCCTCAAAATTATTATATTGCGTGTATTTGGTATAGAATATAGTAATTCCCAAAAAAACAAAAAATCATCTAAAAATAAATAAAATCTATTCAAACAAATATAATTTATCTATTCTGTCTATGATGAATTGTGAGCGATCGGTACATCCGACTGCTCTACTAAAATATACAAACAAATATACTGGAATGTTACTGGATTTTTATTGATTGATTATCAATTATTATTTCATCTGGGCATCTCCAATAGAGTTACAGGGTTCCAAGCAGCCAAGCGTATTTTTGGCAGGTTTACTCCTGTCGAAGACAAGCATATTGGTTTTTTTATCTTCTCTTTTTCTTCGTTAAATTTTTTTTATTATTCTTCTTCTACTTTATACATAAATCTATACATAAATAATGTTATAAAAATAATTCTACAGGATTGAACCTGTGACACTATGGTGAAAAAATTAGATGCTTTAGTCATGGCGTCCACGTCCTCTAACATATACTCCCAGCCTTGTGGTACATGCGATAAATATATAATCCAGACGTAAAACGATCCGAAAGCTGATAAATAAATGTGCTCACAAGCCAGGGCAATTGCTCGAAACCTATCAAGGGAAACGGCGCTCTGCAAGCACGGCGAGGTACTAGCCTTATAAGTGCAGAACGACAGAACGCTTATGGAAATTGCGAGCTGTAACTGCCCATGCATTTTTTAAATATCGTGTGGATGTCGCCTACTTGTCGAAGGTACTTCTTCCTAACTTCGAGTCTCGAATAAGTGCTAAATCTAGCTAGGAACAGAGACACTAGCTATTATCACTGTGGTGTTTCGAATAACTCGGAGCAAAATGGCGTAATGATTATAACGTCTGAAAAATCTCAGACCGCTCTCATTGAGTGGGAGTAGATAAACAGTAAGCCGCATGGCCTACTCGTTTTAAAGGTAAGTTCTGCAATATCTCGATCATCCGTGCTCCAACTCTGTCGGCAGATGACCGCTATAAAGATAAATTCTATGCGGAAATTCAACTGCTAACAAAGTTCTACCGAAATGAAATGGTCATAATCGGAGGAGATTGAAATAAACGCATGAGTTATTATACCGCTGCGATGACCTCGATACTTGGTAAATATGCATCGGAGACCGGTGTGCCAATGGGGAATATCTCCTTCGTTATGCCGAAGAACCTTTTGTTATTAATATATGCTTTCAGCATTATAGAAAACATCTAATCACGTGGAATTCTCCGGATAACCAACCAGATTGATTATATCTCAATCAGTCGCCGTTGGAAGAGTTCCATATTAGATAGTCCTTTCTATCCCGGCGCTGAAACTGCTGACCTTCAAGGGTCAGAATGTTACGATATCAGGACGATAAGAACTAAGATTGGCACAAACTCGCAGGAAACAACATCTCCCAAGATCTTTCAGCTATAGCAAACTACAAGATCCGGGAGCGGTGAGCGCATTTCAAACCAAATTATTAAAGTACCTCAATGATGTAAATATCAATGACTTTTCTAGAGCGATAAACGAATACTGGCTCCAACTAAATCTCTGAATGTCTCCGAATGTCAGCCACTTCCAGACCAGGATATTCTAGTAGGGCTAGCTAAATATTGAACGTCCAATCGTCTGAAAAAACTGCCAAAGCAGGAATGTCAGAAAATCCTGACTACCGGATGCATCGAAGAATTGCAACGACGACAACAAGGCTGAACAGAAATTATTGCAGCAACATGGCCTTGACAAGGGTGGTGGCGGCTCGATTAGGAGATAATAGGAAACTATTCAGTCTTCTCCATAAAGCAACTATAATTCGAGGAAAGAGGGGAATGGTACGGGATAGCAATGGTACACTTGTTAAGGCTAATAAGGATCGTTTTTTTAAGATGGAAGGAATTTTTTGAGGCCAAATTTAACCAAGATGCACCATCTGTTGATCAGAATATAGATGTAGCACAAATGCGAACCGCCAACAGCAGAGAAAAATAACAAAGCACCTTCAACAAATATATTCTCTACTATAGAAAAATGAAATATTACTAGATGAATGAAGCAAAGCAATTCTGTTCTCAATTCTTAAAAAAGATGATAGATATACTGCGACAATTATCGAGGAATCAGCCTACTAGAAGCCTCAATGGAAATTTTTATTTTATTTTCAGACTTCATTAGACATATGGCAATACGGGATAGCAGGATGAGCCCTATTCAAGCTGGATTCAGACCGGGATGCGATTGTGTTGACCACATAATCACGTTAAGAATGGTGTTAAAAATATCAAATATCTACCCACCGTTAGGTGTTGATAGAACGGTGCATTGGAGGATGATGGAGGAATATGACGGTGTTCCAGAGAAAATCATTCGACTCATAAAGCGTATGTCAATTTATGTATATGGGGAATTTATAGACAAGAACTGGTGTCTATCAAGGTTATGTCGTTTCCCCTACTATGCGATAAACTGGATAATGGACACTGCTTTTCGGCCCTCAAGAGGTATCCAAATTAATCCAGAGCATCATATCACAGATTTTGAATAAGCTGATGATGTAGTCCTTTTTCCTGATAGTTATGAAGTGCAAATAATGTTAAACAACATGTCAACAACTGCAAAGAGAATCGTATTCAGGATCAAAGTAAATAAAACGAAAAACCACACTGCTATAAATGACCTCATCTCTTCGTTTTAAAAATAAGAAGGTGATAAAATGCCTATTTTTATAAATTCTTGTCGGTTGAGGAAATTGCCCGATTTTAAATACTTTGGACCCAATTTAAGGCAAAAGACTATATTACAACTCGGGTTACGGCAGCTAGAATTGATGAAATCTTTAAGGAGCCATCGCGAAATCACCACAAAACGAAAGTGAGCATCTATATAGTCGCGATTCGTTATATCTTGCTATATGTCTGCAAGGCCAATGAGAGTGGAGGATATTAAGAAATTACCTACCTTTGACCACTGAATATCTAAGGTATATTTTACGGGTTCGCGAGTGGATAAAATCTCACATGATCACATTCTCTTTCGTTCAAATATTATTTGTATTAATAGTACCATCATGCCTTCGCTGGTTAGGGCAAGTTCTTCGCCGTCCACTGCAAGAGTTGGCACATAGTTCGTTGTCTACTAACCTGTGATGGGTAGCGCGTCAAAAGCGAGGAAGGCCAATCAAAACCTGGGCTGATACGCTTAGAAAAGATTTTGAACGTATAGGTGAACCAGCAATATGTAGACTGAGACGATTATTCCAAATAAAAAATGGCTTCTATTACTGTCGGCATCAAATCGCGCAGTTTGAAAACGTAGCGTTGCCACCTTAATGGTGAAAACTTTAGAAGAAAAAAGAAATTATCTACTCACTTGCAAAGAACCAAAACATGTTCCATCCACACCAATATGGCACATATGCCTTAAATTTCCTTGAGGTTCACTAATCATTAACTTCTGCCGCTTAACTTTGCCTTTACTTTTCTCTTTCTCGACACAATGTTGTTCATCAGCGATAAGAGGAGGTGTTAAAAGAGAATCACGACTGTATTTGAGGCTTGGATTTTCTGCATCAAGTTTAGCGACAGTTTCGTCTGGTCTAAAAAGACCAGTTTTCCCATTTTTCACGCAGCCACGCCAATAATATCCATCCGGATAAGCTGGTGGACTGAAAAAAACCCTCAAAAAATAACACAAAAAGAAAAGTAATTAATTATTATAAATGAAAATTATGAATTAAATACTCAAAAAAATGAAAAATCAAATAATAAATATTAGGGTAACCAACATTAGGAACAAAAGATGGGATCAAATTGTTAGAAACAAAAATATTCAATTCGCCAAAAAATAAAACACCTGCATGAATTTACTTTGCGATACTTTTACGTTACCGAACATCTAAATAGGAAAAGAATTATTAGTGAAAATCTTACGTTTTATCCAACACGACTATTGTTTCGTTCTTATTATATTGTAAATGATCAATTACACCATCTTTACATGAGCAAACCGTCGTTAGAATTTGGGGTTGTAGATCGGGCAAAGAGTTAACAACTTTAGAAAAAGTTGGCCTTTCATTAGGATTATGTGTCCAGCACTGCAGCATTAATTTATAGATGTCCACTGGACAATTATCTGGGCATTCTAAACGTTGTTGATGAGGATAATCAATTGCTGACAAGACCTAAATTTCGAAGCAATGAACTACACAGCGAATTAATTTATAGATACGGCAGTCAATAAAAAATCTGAAATTTTTCTTTCGTTAATTGAAAAAGCCCTAAAGCATCAAAATAAATTATTAAAAAAAAATAAAAATTTCCAAATAAAAATAAAAACAAAAAATAAATAAAAATACTTGAGCGCCTGTAAGGCCTATCCAAGGCACTTGACCATAAGAAAATATTTCAAAAAGTGTTACTCCATATGACCAAACATCACTTGCGGATGTAAATCTAAGAAAATTAATTGATTCAGGGGCGCACCAAGCGATTGGCAATTTAAGATTTTCAGAAAAATCACTTCTATAATAATCCTCACTCATTCCAAGTGAGCGACTCAATCCAAAATCTGATATTTTTACCTGAAAAATTAAATATAAATTAAAGTAAAAACTTTATAAATTTTATTTAATGAAAATAGTTTTTAGGCCTACGAATAAAGTAGGAAATTAAAAGAGCTTTTATAGTAGAGATAATTTCTCCAAAGCTTATAATTCTGTAATCGCGAAAATGTTGTAATGGCAACTTTATTCAAATTTTCAACATATTCTGATCGTTTTTTATGAACTAAAGAAACGTTTCTTTCAAGAATTTTACATCACAAACCGAAACAAGTTTTCCTATGTACGTTATCTTACCCTATTGATAGAAAAAACAAGAACGTTTCGAGCAGCAAGGTCACGATGAATTAACCGTTGATTTGACAGGTACTCCATACCAGTGGCAATTTGTAAAGCGTATTCAAATAGTTTATCAACGGATAAAGACTCTCTAAGAGCAATATTTTGCAAACACGATAGAAGTGATCCACATGGAGCTAATTCAGATACCTAAAAAATAAATGAATGAAATGAAAACAATGGAAAATGAACGAATGAAAAATGGAAAATTAGCGAGTGAAAGACTTCGCATTTATCATGATGATTTATTGTAAAAAAAATAGCCAATTTGTCGCCAAAAATATTCATTTTTTATTTTTTCATTAAAACAATTTTTTTAAAAAACGATTTTCTATATTTTTTGATTCTAAACATAAATATTTTCGTGATATAAAAATGAATATGAATAAAAAAACCTACAAGCATCACAGCTTTGATATCTAAAACAACTCCGTATAATCGAACAATGCATTCATGTCGCATTCTATGCATTATAGCTGCTTCTTGCAAAAAATTTGAACGACCTGCCAAAAGTTTTTCTGATGGAACGCATTTTACGGCAACCTAGAAGCATTTATTTAAAATAAGAAATAAAATTCAGTAAATTATAAAAATTGAATAAATAAGTAATTTCTACACAAATTTAAGAGCTGAGATTATAAAAGATGGAGGATGTCAAAAAATATATCAAATATTCATAAACAACGCAAATTACAGCAACTTGTATTCTTTCGATTCCAGATCCAGTACTATTATTCCAAGCTGCTTGAAAAACGGACCCGAATTCCCCTTTCCCTAATTCTTTACATAAAGTAATCCTTTCCACAGGTATGACATGTTGTTCTTGATCATCTGGCAAGTATTCCTTCTTTTTAACATCACCTCAAAATTTCACTGAAATTAAATGAATAACATTGGAAATACATATGTACGAATAAATAAAGGTTAGGTTCCTGACTATAGATATAAAAATAAAGAAACTTAAGACGAAAAAATTTTCAAACTTTTTCCCAAAATTTTCTTGAATCGATCAATAATTGTTTCCTTGGGATACATTTGCAAATAAGATGCCTTCAATCGCTTTTGTTCGGGTCTAGTCATGCCAATAGAAGATAAATCCTTTTCATCAACGTAAATAATATCATTTGCGCTTCGTAAACGTAAAACATTTCGCATCGATTCCACATAACTAAGAAAAAAAGTGAAAAAGTTTCACTTGATCGAGTGGAAGGTAAACTAATAAAATAGACTACGATAATTATCAAATATTCCATAAATGAATTAATGAAACCATCTAAATTATAGAAAAATGCGCAAATAATCGAAAAATCTACACTGGAAAATCCTAAAACACATAAGGCTTTATAAAATGAAGAACATAAAATCCTTTGGATTCTGTTATATTTTCTTAATAATTCTGTTAATAAATCTTATTGTACTCCAATCTTATCATCAATCATAGTGAACTGCAACAATCATCTGTTGAGATAGGGCCCGTAAAGATCCAACCAATCCTGTTCTTTTCTCTTATAACATTAAATTTGGATTTTCTGAAATGATGTTTTTAGCCTGTCCAAGTGGTTTGGTGGTTTCGACGAGGTTCTTTTCTTTCTATAGTGAGCAAAAGGAAAGAGTGGCTGACCCAGTGGTCACTCCTCAGATTATCATCTCTACTATTGAGATTTGGACCGTAGATAAAAGACCGGTCATTAAAAGTTAGGAGTATTCTGCTGGAGATCCATCTATATTTCTGCCCCAAAATGACTATCTGGCAAATTCTCCATTGTATAATAGCTATTAAAACGAATCCAGCTAGAAGTGGTGAGCTCACTTTATTTCACCAATTATTCCGTATTAATATCGTAATTTGCAAAAAGTTTGGGGAAAATTTAAAATTTAATAAAACTAAAATAATTTTTTAAAATGGAAACTAGTAAATATGAAATTCCGGAAAATAATTTAAATAAATGAAAATCAAAAATCAAACTGTTGAAGACCAGCTTGTCGTAATAAATCTTCCAATGAATCCATTGAAATTTATGGTTCGATTTACATACATTTGTTAATATAAAAGAGGAACATCTGAAACCATAACTGAGAAAGAATTAAAAATCACAAACACAAAGAGCTGTTAAATTAATTCGATAACACAAAGCCAAAGCAATAAATAATAACAAAATTAGAAGCTATAGCGGAGCTGATATAATTATATAAAACAGTAGAATCGAGGATCAATAAAAGAAAAAAAGAAAAAAATAAAAGTTTAAGCAAATTCCGTGGCAATAAAAGGTTCTTAGATAATCGGTTCATCATCATAAATACCGTTTGAATACTGCTTGTTCTTTGGCTCTTTCTCTTTCCCCTCTTTCTCTTCCCTTCTCCTGTCTTTTTCTTTTCATCTCCTTTTTGAACCATTCCACATTACCTTCGTATTTCGTTTACAACTGAACAATCAACACTTTTTTACTAATAAGTGAAGATGTGATAACTGATAATGAAAAGTACCTCCTTTCTTTCCTTTACTTTTTATGGAACTTAACTCATTTTTTAAACTTACATTTCCTCTTAATAAAATTTCATAGTTTAGAAAATTAGACCGAAACGCCATTTTTCTAAGCAGCGCTTTGAACCTTTTCATTTTGATGCATACCTATATACGTTTCAAAAAAATGAAGAATTTCGAAGCACCACTTTCAAAAAACCTTTTTTGGCGTTTCGCGAATTAAATATCAGCTATGAATAATGCCAAAGAAAGAGCACACTTGCAAGATAACCTGCTAGCATTTTGTGTGAAATGCGATTAAAGCGAGCTTCGAACATATCACATATCCAGTGTTATCGACTTATCTGTGAAAAATGAAAGTATCGACTTGACAAGAAAAGATGGGATCTTAAAAAAGAGGAAACAAAACCCTAAAATTAAAAAGCATTCTAGAATATCTCAAAGACTGCATGAAGCATTTAGAAGAAATTATGCGAAGAAAGAAAATATAAATAAATTAAGAAAATATGTTTACTTCAGAACTAAATGTCTCGATATTTGCGATCTATTTCGTTTTTAGTGAATTCTACTATTCGTCAAAGCGCATAATCCCGATATGATCATATTCTATAACCTGTTCAATTTGTTCACTTTGCAGAGCACTTCTTGGATAAGTGCAATGCAATTTACCATGCCCAGGGTATATGGCAGAACGATGACTAGACAATTTCAGGCAAAAAGACTTCCGACCTAGAAATCTATTAGTATCAGCTGCGATGGTCAAAGATGGACTTTAATTCTTCGATATCATACCAGCCGTATGCTGAAGAGCGGAATTCCAGACGCTATGCCAGACTTGAAAGTGAAAAGAATCGAAGAACTTTCTTCATTCGTTCTGGATAACTATCCTTTGAAATACTTTATACTTGTAATCCTATAATCGGGCATTACACCCAATCAACGAAATTTTTTTTTAAGCGGAAAGCATTGTTGACGGCCTGAAACCGTAGAAAATCGATCAATTGCTCAGTAGCCTCATTGTAGTGAGCCAAATAACCTTTAATGGTAGCAAAATTTATATTTTAAGTTAGAGAAAGAAGTTAATGTTTACTATGAATCTTCTATATTTATATGTTTGACAGCATTTTTACTTACTGTTAAATTTCACTCTTGCATTTAAAGCAAAAATTTGTATTTGAGTGAGCTAAAAAATGCATTATGGCTTATGCTTTTCCATTTCGATGTATATACGTATATCTATAAAGATAGGTGTATGATGACCAGTAAGTGAACTGAAATAGTAGCATATACATTTATACATCCACGCCAGAACATGGTCGATTCACAGTTTTTTTCTAAAAGCGCTTACCATTTCTAGTTCCGTTGGCTTGATACAGCAGACCTTCTATTCCCGCTGAAAATAAACCTGTATTTTAAAAGTGCGGGAAAAAATGCTCGCGACTCACCAGCATCGTTATCGCCAAGCGCTTTTAGAAAAGCGATTCCCTGGCAAAATTTCTAGAAATGCTTTTAGAAAAAAAATCTTTTGCCTGCAATTTATTTTCTTATTCACGTCTTTATTTGCGCTTCAAAACGAAGTTGCAAAGAGTACAAAAAAAGCGCCTTCTAACCCCCTTTTATAACCCTCTTTTTATGAATTACAGTTGCGAATCTATTCTCTGTAAATATTATGAAGTTGGCGGAACAAAACTAATCTATTACCTCCAAAACCTGCTAATCCTCTCGAATTACTTGGCTGCCTTCTTAACGCTCGAGAAATTTCCTTCTACACTGAAAGAGAATTGTAGGGAATTACTTGGCAGACTTGGCACAAAGCAATGTCGTCCAGAGGGTTAAGGAAACGGGCTTTACGGGGCACGTGAATAACTTGGAAACGTTCACAGCCGACCTATTAATGATGAAATTGAACTGCAAAAAACTCCTAAATTAAAGTAAAGAAAAATAAACGAACATCCACAATCGAAAAAAAACGACAAAAATGAATTCGCTAAAATTATGGGGCAAAAAAATCCACACGAGAAAACTCGGCCAAGAATTATAAAAAGATTCGTAGCTCGAAAAGTTCGACAGCAACGACTAGTGCGAAAAATTCGATAGTTGTTGTCAACTTAAACGAAGGTCTTAAAGTAGCGATATAAACATGTTCTGCTTTACGAACGGTTGCTATATCTGTGTTTTTGGGGAAATTAAAATCTATAAGCCAGAAAATATTGCTCGATATTCGCTCCCTCCCACCTCTCATCCCCGTTCTAAATTCCACGTACTTGAGTGGATGAGTTAATATCCAGTGGAGTGGTTCCGTCGCTGTCAAATATATTGCTTCAGTCTAGAAGGAAGGAGACATACGAATTTGAAAGTCATAGGCATTAGACAAAAGATTCCTTTTTATATTTGAAGAAAGTGAATTTGAAAGATGAAAAGTGGAAATCCGCAATGAAAGCTGTTAAACACATGGAAAAAGCAATGCGAAATTCTTGGTCGGGATGTCGAAAGAAATTCAAAAATTGTTTCAGTTTTAATGGAAATCTGCTGTCCTGAGGTACACCAGAAAAGCAGTGCGCCAAGAGACCTATCGGAAGTTCGATCTTCAGCAAAGACTAGCGAGCAGCGAATTCCTCAGCAAAGACTAGCGAGCAGCGAAATCGGCCAATATATTATTAACCCATACGGAAATGCAGAGCTGATTTTCTGGAAGGTCCAATGACGATTTTAAATTGTATAGCATGCAGTTTACGCGTGCAAAACATTGCTTTCTATTCCAATTTATAATAAAAAGTTACAATATATTCATTGAATACTTTCACCGAAAAAAGTCCATATTAATATGAATGGTGTGCGAGAGGTGATTCCGACGCACTGAATTGATTTATTTTACCTCCAAAACGTAATTTTCCGAAATATAAATCAAAGGGGCGATAAGGATCACCAAGGGTGCATCCAATGGTCGGTCCGTTTAATTTACAAATTTCATTTACTTATTTCTTTCTTAAACTCAATCTGACATTTCATTATTTGACTAGTGGTGTCATCTGATTCCATTTGAATATCGTCCTATCGTTCATTTTTAAACTCATATTATGCTGGTTTTTTCTTCAATTAGCACATCAAGGTATAACTTATGTTTATATTCGTAGAACCAAACCATGGTCGAAAATTAACTTCAATAAGCCAAATATAGAATATGACACAAATCTGGAATTGAACTGAAGAAATCGAGAGTCCGCGATTGTCTCTTGAACTACGAAATAATGAAACCTTTAGAATTTTTATTAATAGTTCCTTTGAAATATTCAGTAAATTTGAAAGACTAAAGTGGACAAAAATATAAAACAATGTAAATTTCTTATAACAGATTTTCTCAGAGCAATTTAGAAAAATCCTGAGGAATAATATTTAAGGAATCGGCATCACTTATAATTTTCGCTGATCTCGATGATGTGCTAATCTCACAGATGTCACATTTTTTTCTAGCTGAATTCAATTACTTCCAGTCAAAATCTCCCAAAGCTGCAACGTTTTTTTTTTTTGATGTTAGACGTCAAGTTTCCATTAAAGCAAGTTTTTTTGTGGATTAAGATAATCGGTTAACAGAAGGCGACAGTGTTTAAGAAATTTTTTTCAAAAAGTTTCGTCATTAATAAAAAAACTTTGTGGAAGAAAATTTTGTCTTGAG